GCAGCCATTCGCCAGAAGAAAGGGGAAACACTCCATAAACAAAAAGCTTTCCAGCTTCTCAAGAAGATGGAGGAAACTAATGATCTGATGAAGGTGAACTACTCAAAATTGTACTCCTTACCAAAACTATTCAGTACATCAAAATTGGCATATAGTTTTTGCAAAGACATAATGAAAAGTGTATGGAACTAAACAAGGACCAGCAAGTTCCTTTTGCATGGGTTCTGAGCAGAATTTAAACCAAACTTTCTAACTACATACAAACCACACAAAAGGGCTTTACTAAGAGAGAAGTTATAGGTGTACTAAAGCTAATCAAAACACACAAGAAATTGATTATATCTCATCGTTTAGATATTACTTATATATAAGAATGCAGGTGTTGTCTAAATTACAAACGTTGTTAGAAACACACAGCATTTAGTAAAATTAATAATCTATAACTACACAAAAATGAACATAATTAAAAAGGAAACCCTCCGTTCAGTTTTTCTCAAGAACGAATACTCACAGGTAGCAAGGGTACTAACTCAACTAGTTAGTTTTAAAAAAGGAAATTGTTTTGTCTACATATATTCTAATGGTAAAGATACTAATTATTTGTATTTTCTAAAGTTTCAAGCCCTTGAGATGGTACATATATATATATATATATATACTTGTTTGAGAAAATTACTTAAGAACATAGCACTTTACAAATTTCTCTAATTGTTTAGAAAAATGTATTCCACTATTTTCCTACATATATTCGGGTCAAATGCGTAAGTTAAAGAAAAACTATTTATTCATAACACACCCCAAAAACAAGAGAAACAACACACAAAAAATTGTTCACAGGAATAAAAAACAGCAAAATTAAAAGAAACAAACCAAAACAAACGAATCTCTTATCCAGAGATTTAATTATTTAGAAGAAAAACAAACAGAAAATGGAAAACATGATTCAGATTATGTAACTTCCGCCACAGTACTTCTGAGGAGGAACATATTCTTGTAAACGTTTGGATCGTTGACTCTCCAGATCCATTTTCATCTTTTCCAGAGCAGCTATTAGACGATTGGTTTGGCTGAGGTCAAGTTGATTCGGAGGTTTTTCCCACCATTTCTCCGTTCCTTCTCTCTCGTTTCTTAACATTTCCAAATATTTCTTCTCTTCTGTCAACGCTTCATTCTTCACCAACTCCTACAAGTAATCGACTCATACTTTTATATATATGTCAATAAAAACAAAAACATACCTATATAACTAACTACATAAACGATCATATCAATTTTACTGATTTGAATGCCAATTATATGTCTATGATGGCTTGTTAATGGATTTATATTTAAAACATAATAATAACATTGTGTAAGTTATGGTTTGGAGTATAAAAATTGTTAGAGCTAGCACTCATTTATATTCGTATAAAGACTGAAAAAAACAAAAAGAAACATTTACCTGAGTGTATAGATTGTTGAGACCTTGGATGGTTGCATTTGGACCATTTCCAATAGGTAGAAGAGAATCATGGTTATCATTTTTGAAACGATCAATTACATATCTAAGATCTGGATTACCAAACGAAAACACTTTTTGACCAGGTGAAAACACAATCACTCCAATCTCTACACCACATAAGGTGGAAAGTTCACTCGCTTTTTTAAAAAGATTTTGTTTTCTCTTTGAAAAGGTAACTTGAAGGTTGATGCCCTTCTTCATTTTCTCCATCTTTACCCTTTGACGACCTTTTGGTTTTCTTGTCATTCTAAAAAAAATCTTGAAAGAGAATAATATTTTTGATGTAAGCAAATGGAATGAATAGGTTGTATTTATAGAGAGTGAAATGTTATAAAATTCTCATAGGGACCCTCCAGAAGTCCTTCCAGAGCACTCTTTGTATTCCAAGAAACTGTTGGAGTACATGTATTTAACATTTAAGTTATTAAAAAAAAAAATTTATACAAAATTCGTTTATTTCTACTTCAAGTGCTCAATACTTATCCTTAAATTTATGTATAAGCTGTAAAATTATCATATTCTTACATGTTAAAGTTCACTATGATGTGTCAACTATACCTACTTATTTCTCCAAAAATTATCATATTTTTATCTGTTACAGTTCACAATGATTTGTCAAATGTACCTATTTCTTTCTCTTGTAAAATGATAAGGTTGTAATTCGTAGATTTATTTCTTTTTTCATAAATTTATTTCTTATGTTTTCCTAATTTCCTTATAAAACATTTATACAAATATTGTAATTCTAAGTTTTTTATCATATCTATTTTTATTTTAATAAAAATAAACTCAGATTAGGATATTTATATTTTACAAAAAAAAGTTAAGTTTCTAGAAGTTAGAGATCGGATCTAAATATCCTAAATTTTAAAATATATCATGCCGTTTTATATATATATATATATATCATTATATCCATATGGTTTCACATCTAAATTAAAAATCACAGATACAATATTGCCGTTGTGGAACATTATGCTCAAATACAATATCACTGTTTTGAAATATCATACATAACTCTTTTACAATATGCAATGAGTAGAAAAGGCTGGTCCTAGATTTAGGGAAGGGATTAGAGGCTAGGCCCTAACTCTTCTTACTTAACAACAAAAAAGACGATACATGAATTAAAACTAATAAATAATATTATGAAAGCACTATTCACATGTGGAAAAAAAAACTAAAAGTTGCCTAAAAAAAGAGAAAATTTGGAAGAAAACACTATTACAAGTTTTTTATTTTAAAATTAGCCTACCTTTTTGTATTGAAACATATACTTTTTAAAAGTAAAAATGACTTAATTATCCTAATTAAAATATTATAATTACTTTAATAAATGAATTAAATAAAGATAAATAAAAAGAAAAATTATTTGATAGGCGAACTTAACTTGGGATTGAAAGTTCATATAAATCTCAAAACGGTTAGCTACCATTTAACATTTGCGAATTGAAAAAGTACTGATTCCTACTAAAAGAGAATTACATTCGATTCGTACTAATCTAACTTTGAAATGGACTATATTTGTATCAATTTAAACATAAATAGAGAATATTTCAAAGAAGCCAAAAAATAATTAAAATATATACTGTTGGGATTTTTCTGATTAATTCAACACATACGAAACAGAGCAAAAATATATACAGTATAGTAAAGATCAAAACCAATGTTTTACAAAAAAAAAAAAAGAAGATCAAAACCGGTTAGTCCGATTGAAGTGAACTTGGTGCGTGTGAGTGGGTGTTGATAGGATCATAGGATAGCTCCTCCATCTTGCCACCAGCCTTGACTTTACTTCTCTATCTTATAGAAATAACTTTACATACAAATTTTGATGTGGGAAAATTACTTTTGTCTAATTTTATACACTTTATGCGATTCATTTTGGATGTCCACTTTTCATTTAGATGGACTACATGTGTTGGTAATAGAATATTATCTTTTAGTAATTTTACATAGAGAACAAGAAAAATAAAACCAAACGAAAAAGTAATTAAGAAATTCATCTGATATATTAAAATTTCTAAAAATTGTAGTTAGTTTTTTTTTTTTGGAAAATTCGATTTTTCTACAAACTTAAATCTACACTGTAAAACGAAAAAAAAAAGAGGAAAAAAAAAACATAATCCGAAAACTATAAAGTAAAAACTATAGAGAAACTAGTATTTGCCTAAACCTCTTTATTCATGTGTAGTCACGTGTGTGCTTCCACATCTACGAACCTGCTGCGGCGTTAATATTCCATCGACGTGAGGCCAAGTTAACTTCATTTCAAATACAATCTCTCAAATTGATTAAGATTATTTATAGTTATATATTATATAGGTATGTGTTTTTAAAAAAAAAAAACAAAAAAATTGTGTGTTAATTAGTAAAACTTATTTTACTCCAAAAATTACGTAATCCCGTTTGTGGAGCATGTCCTACTTTTTTTTTTGTGTGTGTAAAATATCCTACCATTTTAGTAATGCAATATATAAAGAATTTTTCTAGCTTATTTTATTTCATATATTGCTTTTCAAGTTCATCAACCTCTTGAATTAATTCTAAAAATAACCTTTACAATGTCATAATACGATGTATTATCGACGAAGTGTAGTAAAATCGTAGGTTTGGAAAAGAAAAACAATCTTTAAGGGCAATCTACATATTCTAATAAGAATTAAGGGGTCAAAAACTAAAAAACTTCATACTAAAAATCAAAAATTCGAATTATGATGATTTCAAAATAGTTCTTCTTTATTTTTTTCCGTGTTGTCCTTTTTCGCAACGGTCGGATCACGGATTATTCACAACCTAACGGCTCAAAAATTAACGCCGTTAGCTCCATTAGCGTCCTAACAAGTCAAACGCCAGCGCCTGCCGTAACGGTCTTATTTATTTTTAATTTGTTTTTTAATCCTCCGAATTTCATTTCTCTTCCTCCTCGAAAACTTCTCGATTTAATTTAACCATTTTTCTCAGAACTCTTGCGTGTCTCTCTTATATTCTTTTTCTCTCTCTCTCTCTCTCTCTCTCTCTCTCGTCGTCGGACGATAAACCACCATCGCCAGAAAAAGGAAAAAATTCAAATCCATTTTTATTTTTCAAAATCGCGCGAGTCTCAGAGATTGCTTCGACGAAATCGGAAACTAAACTCATACATTCTCTGTTTGATCGGTAAATTTTTTTCCCTCTCCCCTGAGTTTCTGGAGAATCCGAGGCGCATTTAAAAAAATTATATCTTCCATTGTTGATTCGAAATCGCGGTTTTGAGATTCGGATTGTGTTTATGTATGTATATTCGTGATCACTGGGTAGAGACATTTCGATTGATTGAAAATACGGATTCGTTTTTTTTCGTGTTTGTTTGTGGTTAGGTGTGATTTCGCTGAATCCTTATGAGGTTTTTAGATAGAATTGGTGAATTTGTGAGGTCAATGGAGTTTCTGAGTTTGAGCTTTAAGGTGTTTCACTTATGATTTTGCAGGGATACATAGTTGTGCTGCTTTGCGAAGAAATGGAATCGAAGAAAGGAGGTTCGGCGAAATCTCCATGTCAAACTCCACGCTCGACTGATAAGTCAAATCGAGATCTTCGATCAGGAGACGCGAACTCAAACTCGAATCAATTCAGCAAGAGTGAGAAAGAAAAGGGTGTGAATATACAAGTCATCGTTCGTTGCAGGTACATTTCGAAAAATATCCTTTTGTGGCAAGACAATAATTACCTCAGTGGCCTAATCTTCCACTATATAATGGTTTTGTATTTTCAGGCCATTTAATTCGGAGGAGACGAGGTTACAAACACCTGCGGTTCTCACTTGCAATGACCGGAAGAAGGAAGTGGCTGTAGCGCAGAATATTGCTGGGAAGCAGATTGATAAAACGTTCTTGTTTGACAAGGTTTTTTGTTCATAATCATTTGGTTTAATCCCTTAGAGCTTCTTAGATGTTGTGCATACTGAAAATTTTATGGAATCTGCTAGGTCTTTGGCCCAACATCGCAACAAAAGGACCTGTATCATCAAGCAGTTTCTCCCATTGTTTTTGAGGTTCTTGATGGGTATAACTGCACCATCTTTGCGTATGGGCAAACAGGAACTGGGAAGACATACACAATGGAAGGAGGAGCTAGAAAAAAGGTACGCCAAACCAATTTCAAGAACATCTCTTCACTAGTGAATTTTCAGTAACTGAATCCTCATTTGATGCGAACCTGTTTTCTTGCCAGAACGGTGAGATCCCGAGTGATGCAGGTGTTATCCCTAGAGCAGTTAAACAGATATTTGACATACTGGAAGCACAAAGTGCTGCTGAGTACAGTTTGAAAGTTTCGTTTCTTGAGCTCTACAATGAAGAACTCACGGATCTTTTAGCTCCGGAAGAAACAAAGTTCGCAGATGATAAGTTGAAGAAGCCTCTGGCCCTTATGGAAGATGGGAAAGGTGGTGTTTTTGTCAGAGGGCTGGAAGAAGAGATAGTGTCTACTGCTGATGAGATTTACAAAGTCTTGGAGAAAGGATCAGCCAAGAGACGCACAGCAGAGACTCTTCTCAACAAGCAAAGTAGCAGATCTCATTCAATATTTTCGGTTACAATCCACATTAAGGAATGTACTCCAGAGGGGGAAGAGATTGTCAAAAGCGGAAAGCTAAATCTTGTTGATCTTGCTGGTTCAGAGAACATTTCACGGTCTGGTGCTCGAGAGGTACACATCACAGTAAAGATTTTCTTCTTTTATAGTGTGTCGTGACTATGCTTTTATTGATAAAAATGAGAGTCACGATATTGCAGGGTAGAGCCAGGGAAGCTGGCGAGATCAACAAAAGTTTGCTCACTCTGGGACGTGTCATAAATGCTTTGGTTGAACATTCTGGTCATATTCCATATAGGTAACACAAGGAGTTTTTTGCCTTCACATATCTCTCTCTCTCTGGAAGATCATATGATTACTGATTACGTGCATTTCAATTACAGAGAAAGCAAGTTGACAAGATTATTGAGAGACTCGTTGGGAGGAAAAACAAAAACATGCGTAATTGCTACAGTTTCACCCTCTGTTCATTGCCTGGAAGAAACACTCAGCACCCTTGATTATGCACACCGTGCCAAACACATCAAAAACAAACCAGAGGTCTGTCATCAAAAACATATGCTGGAGCGCCTTTGTTTCTGCCGGTTTAGTTATATAACACTCTTTTTCCTTTCGAAATTCAGGTTAACCAGAAGATGATGAAATCAGCTATTATGAAAGATTTGTATGGAGAAATTGAACGTCTGAAGCAAGGTATGTATTGGTTCACATATTGAGGATCCTCCTTTTGTTTATCAAATACTTACGGTGAGCTGCTTGGTTTACGTATCTTTTCTTGATTGTTTCAGAGGTCTATGCCGCAAGGGAGAAAAATGGAATTTATATTCCAAAGGAGAGGTATACTCAAGAAGAAGCTGAGAAAAAGGTGCACTTCTTATGAAGGAATAAGTGCTATAAGTCATTTTACAATTATATATTGCAGATTTAGACTTGATTCTGTATATGTTGCTACAGGCTATGGCTGAAAAGATAGAGCTAATGGAAGTAGAGGGTGAAGCTAAAGACAAGGTGAGCAGATATGTTTTAGTTTTTTGGCTGTAAGATTAAATTGATGTTTCTACTAAATCTATACTAACTATTATGATTGTTTGATGTAGCAAATACTTGAGCTTCAAGAGCTGTACAACTCGGAACAGCTTGTAGCTGCTGGATTGAGAGAGAAGCTTGATAAGACTGAGGTATCTATCACAAGTTTCTGTTCTTGCTTGGTGCCGAGCACAGTTCACTTTCCACTAACATGCGAGGATTCTTTTATTCTCTGATTTCAGAAAAAGCTCTATGAAACTGAACAAGCATTGTTAGACCTCGAAGAGAAACATAGACAGGCAGTTGCAACAATTAAGGAGAAAGAGTACTTGATATCCAATCTCCTTAAATCTGGTAAGTTAGTTGGTTTTCATCATCTAATCCATGGGTTACAAGCTGAGTTTATTAACCTTTTCTTCCACATTTCCTCAGAGAAAACACTTGTTGACCGTGCCGTCGAGCTTCAGGCCGAGTTACAAAACGCAGCCTCCGATGTTTCAAACTTGTTCGCCAAAATTGGTTTGTGATCCTCTCTCTCTTCTCTCCCATATTTGTAATCACATTAGGAAAACTCACTAAAGAAGCTCTTGATGATGATTCCAGAGAGGAAGGACAAAATCGAAGACAGTAACAGATCGCTCATCCAAGAATTCCAGTCACAATTGCTACTCCAACTTGAAAACTTGAACAACAGTGTTGCAGGCTCAGTGTGCCAACAGGAAAAACAATTGCAAGACATGGAAAAAGTTATGGCTTCTTTCGTTTCTGCAAAGACAGAGGTAAAAACAACATGAAAGGAAACTATTTTTTTTCCTTACCTTCTTATCAGGATATCGAAGCCTTAACTATGTGTATCGTCTTCTTGTTCTCTGCAGGCTACTGAAACATTAAGGAAGAGTTTATCGCAGTTGAAGGAAAAGTACAATTCAGGGATCAAATTTTTAGATGACATAGCAGGAAACCTTGATAAAGACAGCCAATCGACGTTGAACGAGTTAAACTCTGAAGTGACGAAACATTCTTGCGCACTGGAAAACGTAAGACAGAGATTAATTCAATTCAATCAATGTATAGTCAAGAATTTGCTTACATTCTTATAACTGAAAAACTGTTTGTTTGTTTTTTTAAATCAGGTCTTTAAAGGATTCACATCAGAGGCTTACACGCTACTTGAAGGGCTTGAAAGCAGCCTTCACAACCAAGAAGAGAAGCTCTCTGCATTCACGAAGCAGCAACGCGAGTTACATTCCCGTTCGATGGAGTCTGCTAAGTCCGTCTCCACGGTGATGTTAGACTTCTTCAAGACTCTAGACACTCACGCCGATAAACTAACGAAGCTAGCGGAAGATGCTCAAAGCGTCAACGAGCAGAAACTATCTGCGTTCACTAAGAAGTTCGAGGAATCGATTGCGAATGAAGAGAAGCAAATGCTTGAGAAAGTAGCGGAGTTGCTAGCGAGCTCGAATGCGAGGAAGAAAGAGTTGGTTGAGATAGCTGTGAAGGATATTCGTGAAGGGTCGTCTTCACAAACCGGTGCATTGCAAAAGGAAATGTCTTCAATGCAAGAATCAGCTTCTTCAGTCAAACTCCAGTGGAACTCTCACATGGATGAAGCGGAGACTCATCATCTCGATAACATTTCTGCTGTTGAGGTTGCAAAGGAAGATATGCAGAAACTGCTCCTAAAATGGTAAAATTTATGATTAATTAAAACCAAAGGAAAAAGAAATATATATATTCTTTTGTTAATCCTTTGAATTGTGATTTGATTTCATCTACAGCTTGGAGGATTCGAGAACCGGTACTCAACAATGGAAGACGGCTCAAGAATCATTGGTGGATCTAGAGAAGAGGAATGTTGCAACTGCGGATTCTATTATCCGGTAACACAACTTTACATTTTCAAGATAAACATTTATTATTTATAATCATAAAAACTGACTTTATCTTCTTATTGATAAAACAGAGGAGCAAAAGAAAACAATGAAAAGCTACGAGATGAGTTTTCTTCTGCGGTTTCAACCACTTTGAGAGACGCAGATTCAGTAAACAGTGAAATCCTCTCATCCATTGACCGTAAGTTAAATTATAATTCGTTTTTTTCTCTTCACAGATTATTTTGATTTATTATTATCATTTTGAAAATTTTCGGTTTTTTTGTTTTGCAGAGTCGTTGAAACTCGATAAAGACGCATCAGCGGATATTAATTCCACGATCGGTCCATGTTCAGGAAGCTTGAAAGAGCTAAGAACACAACATGACGACAATGTTGTCGAAATCAAACAAAACACTGGGAAGTGTCTTGGTCATGAGTACAAGGTAATTTACTTTTAGTTAAATCATATTATTAAATTGGACAAAATTATTTAATGGAAATGATTAAATTGGACAAAATTATTTACTGAAAGTTTTTTCAAAAAATTATTAATACAGGTGGATGAAGCAACGAGCTCAACGCCGAGGAAGAGACAATACAACATTCCAGCGGTAGGATCGATCGAAGAGCTAAAAACGCCGTCGTTTGAGGAATTGTTGAAGGCGTTTCGCGATTCTTCCAAGTCGCCGAAACAAATGCTGCAGCAAGCTAACGGAGAAGCTAAACACGTTAGTAGTAACGGTCGACCTCCGTTAACGGCCATCAACTGAATTTAAATAAAACATACGTTATGTTTTTGTTTCGAGTTCCGTGAGATTTATGTAACACGGGAAAAAGGCAGTTGTATAGCGACAAATTCTCTCTATTTTAATATTTTTGAATTCAGTCTTAGTTTTTTTTTTATAGTATTACGTTTTTATTCTTATGATGGAGATCGAATTTTCAAATTTTGATTTGTTTCTGGTCAGACACTCTCGGAATCATTTCAGGAAGAAAAAATATGGAAAAAAAAATACACAACGAACGGATCGTATTTAGTTAGTGCGCCTTGACTTATCTCAAAAGACTGCTTCTCACATATTTCACTCTTCATTGATCCATCTGTATAAAAATAAAATAGAGAAGAGAGAGAGAGAGAGAGAGAGAGAGAGAGAGCGAGAGAGAAATAACTTAAATATCTTTCAATCTTTTATTATATACGCCCAAAGCTTGTCCAACGTTTTCTATGGCCTGCACGACACGAATCTAAAATTTTAAGTTATTTTACATTTACTATAATAGAACGACATAGTAAAACTTTATTGAACAGTCTCCATAAGCATTCTGTAAGAAATAACTGTACATGAAATTATGTTGTTGAATGTAGTCATTTTTGATATCTTATACACCAAATATACATACCAGAAATACGTAACACTATTCTTAGCTCCAGCTGGCTCAATTACATATGTTCACAAAACATGAGTAATACAATTACGGGTTCTATGAGTCTTATTCTGATGTTGTAAGAGAATGAACGATCCCACTGTTTTTTATTTAAACTATGTTTATGTCAAATATCACTCTTTTTATAGTTTTCATGGCAATGTAATAATCTACCAAAAAGTCCATAATAAGCAAGCCACCACTTAGAGCATCTCCAATAGTTTCTCGACATATAACAGTAAGATTAAATTTTCATCGGTTGATATACAACGAACAAGCTAAGTTATAACAACAGTAATAATTTGTATAAGATAATGTTTTTTGAGAAATTGACTCATAATTGATAATACTCTTGACCATTTTCCTGTTTTTTCTGTTGTGTTAAAAAATCCTTTGTTCCTCTCGACCCTTGTGATTCTAATTTTTTTTGAATGGATGTCATCTAATAATAGAAATTAAAAACATTTTTTGTTTATGTAAATTATGGATAAACATTTGGTATATAGAGTGTGAAGTTTGGAAACACTTAATTAATTAACAAAAAAAACAAAAAGAGTTTGTAACTCACTTTTCAATTATTATTATGGGAGAGAAACATGGTACATATCAAAAGGAAAGGTGACCACATCAAAATAAAGAGTGAAGTTACACATTAGACAAAGGAGATCTTTCTCACTGTCTAGTCCTAAAGACAACAGCCTACACATGCATGCATGCATGCATGCAATTACAGAAACCAAGACACCCAATTTTACAACTCATAATAACTCCAACCCCAGCAAACATATTGTAAAAGGAAACCTTTTTAAAAATTAATTTTTTAAAATACTACCCATTAGTTCTACTGCTAAAGATAGAGAAAGAAGAGAGAGTGAGATAGGTGTAAGTTATTCAACTAATTTTATCCAACGGCTACTACTTTACCCCCAAATACACGTGTCTTCGTCTTAGCCTTTGACACATCATACATGATACATGAATGAAACACCTGCAGAATCTCTTTCGTAGTTGTTGTCTTTTCTTTAAAGTTTGGTACTGTCTTGTTTGGAATTGATGGATGAGATTGGGAAGAGTTCAAGGGTTTTTAGGGGTATCTTTGCACTGCTCATCATCATGTTACAACATGGAATGGGTGATGATGTTGATGATGATGAGGGATATGATGGTCGTGGGCCCATATCCATCATCATCATCCAATCTCGACCGTACGATGAGTTTGGACCCGTGATTGGTTTTTGCATCAACATCTCTTCAGGTCCACTTTTGTTACAGTAGTATTCATTCACCACTTTGCTTTGAGCTTCTCCTCCAATTCCCTATATTTTCCAAAAATAACCATCTAAAATGATTATCATACAAAGCAAAAACTAGGGCAAACAAAAGAATTATTTAAACATTTTTTGTATAACAAGTACTTAATAATCTTCTTATTTGCGGTTTCCATCTAATCCATGTAAACAGTTGTAAGTAGCAAATATATATGTTACCCAAGATAGGAAATTAGTTTTCGGTCTAGAATTATCAGGTTATTAAAATATTACTAGTATATATCTATGCAAGGCGGAATCTGATCACAAGCATTACATCCATTAAGAAAAAAAGTTTAACAAAAATTAAATAAGAACCAGATTTTATGTATATTACCTGATGAGAAAGATAAGTAGGAGAAGGGTGAGAGCAGCAAGCAAAAGACATATGATCGTAGGGACGATGATGATGACTATGATTATGATGATGATGGTAAGGATTATGATGATCTATGATGTTGCTAAGTGGTTGAGACATCATAGATATTGGTTTGGGTTTGATTTGTTGGAGCTGAAGATTGAGGTGGTGTTGTTGTTGATGAAGTTGCTTAGCGAGTTTCTTCCTAAGCTTCTGTCTATCTCTCGCCTTATGGTTCTGGAACCAGTAAAAGACGTTTTTGCCCTCAATACGTCCATAGAATGCTAAGTGAGCTGTGATCTGCTGTATCTGCACCGCATTTGGAGTCCGTATACCGCTCCGGTACATCTCTTCCAAGATCATTAGTTGCTCCGGCGTCGGACACCACCTTGTTGAAGCCATCGGACTCATTCTCCGTTCAGACAAGTGTTGAAGGCTTTTGTGTTTGTTGTGTGTATATTCTCTTATAGTGATATCTCCAAATATCGGTGTTGTGTGTATGGATGAGGAATATATACCCGAAATGAGTTTATATGGTTAGAGAGAAAAAAATGGTACATTTTTATTTATTTTTAAAGTTGCATTGGAAAGGGACGCAAGAGAGAGAAGGGTTAGACAAAAAATAAACATAAAGAAAGAACATTGTACTATATTGTTTTTTATGTTATGATGCATTTTGCATTGATACTGGCCCATTCCATATGCTCCAAATTGTTGTTACGTACTCTGTGAATTTGACTATAGTATATATGAAAAGGAATATTAATTTTTTTTGGAAATAACTATAGTTTTCACTTTCAATTTGTTTGTTGTCGGGAGTTTTCACTTTCATAAACAGTAGTATATATTAATACAGACGAGATCTACCATATATAATCGAATGGCACATAATAGTGAACTATATCTATTTCGAAATCTTTTGCAAATAATTGAACATATCATTGGTTTCAAATAGAAGAAACGTTAAATATTCACTTTTGTTAAACAATACTCTCTACTCTCTAATTCTATAGCTATTACATCTTAGTTGAATATCTTGCGACGACATTCTTCAAACAATAATATGGAGTAAGTACTTAAGAAGAGAGAGAAAAGAGAACAGGAACAAAAATCAAAGAGGAACAATGAAGGTGCATGGGTTCTCGAGGTGGATCATTCAATAGGTTTTTTCATAAATACAATTAATTAAGACATTGACTCATGAGTCATCTGTCTCTGTACAAACATGAAAACACAAATAATGATCAGTTTTGTTTATTTTTATATATGTACATAAAGATAAGAAGTTAAGAACATACAAAACATAAAGAAATAATACTTCTCAGTAACAAATAATTTAAAAAACGGTTATCATGGTTTATAAAACTTCCATAAAAAATAATAGACGATAAGAACCACAGAATGTGATCAATCATGTCAAGACCTAGAATAGATAAATATGAATGATGTGTGAATATATTGCATGTATGTAGAGAGAGGATGGAAGGAGAATGAGGAGAAACATAAATGATTATGTCATAATTACTTTATTATGATTTACTTCTCTCAACAGAATGACGTTGACACATCATATTAAAAGAAAAGAACAAACGGTAAATTTTCTCCAATCTTTACATGGACAGACAAGTAAGTAAATTTGTACAACAATGTGAAATGAAACACATACACATTATAATCATAACGAAAACAAATTGTACATTTAGAAGCACGAGTATAACTTATTCTAAGGTACACTTTGTAATAGTATTATGCAAGTGTTGGTACAAGTGTTAATTTTACAATTTTTGTTAAACTAAAACATGAAAATGTGCTTCAAATATCACATCAGGCATAGAATTGTCTGTTTAGAATCTCCAGAAACTGAGCATTTTGACTTTATAACGTCTGCATGCAAAAACATTGCATGCATTAGCATTCGCACCTATTAGTTGTCTATAGGCTCCAAAGCCTTGTCCACCTTTCTCTCTCTCTCTGCCCTCTGTCAACATTCTTGATTCTGGATATTTAATTTCTTTTTGGGGCTAAAGGATATTTATGGACTCATCTAGAAATAATGATTATTGAAATTTCATATAATAAATTATATATTACCTATAACATCTCAATTAATTATAGCTCATGTACTCCTATATCAGTTGGCTTGGTCGAGAGAATTTCATGTGGATACACTGTAACAACTTGGATGTTTTTATGATTCATTTCATGTAATTAAATTAATGTACTTGGAGTATAATCTAAACAAATTTTCAAGAGACATTCCAAAAAAATACAATGTTAATTTTGCCGTTTTATCTGATTAGCATAGTCCTTTTAGTTATTGTATAGTCGGGCACGTGAAACCAACCTAGCGAATTATATGATTAGTAAAAATGTAAGTTAAAAATATTATATGCTATATATACTTGTACGATATTTTTCTCTTTTACTTCTTTGTAAAATATAAACGGAAAAAAACTAAGAGACAGGACTATAAATGCATGCATGCAGACAAATTGCAATTTGCCTCTGCATTTCCTTTTAACACAGTCTCTTTTTCAATTTTGTTTTCGAAAAGAAAACTTAGAATTTGTATTCATACACATAAATGCGTAGTGTTCTGTCAACATTCTTATTAAATCCTAAACTGTTGGTAAATACCAAACAGCTCTTTTGCTGTTTCGCACTTCCTCTCTTTTGTCCCTACTTCTCTCTTTTATCAAACTAAAATTCTATGAGAACACTTCATTGCACAATGCAAGTTTTAATTTCATTCACGTACACACACGTTCGCATATACATCGTGACATTTATACTAATGTATAAACTAATTAAGATACGTAAACCTACAACAGCGACGTGCCAATAGATGAAGTAATTGTAAAAGGGGACCATATGAAACTGTTATCTCAAAACGAATGTCAAACTCATGTTTTTTCAAGTTACAAGTTTTGCTACCTCAGTGGAAACTATAACCTATTCAAAGAAAAATGCAAAAAGTTTCATGTTTCTCGACAATTAGTATACAGTTGATTGACGACGATTTTTTCTGCCAAACACGATTGTCATTTTCTTTTTATGAACAAACTAATACAATTGTCATCAAGCAGTTTTATCATAACGTTTGACGGGAATAAAATAAGGACAAAAAATAATCTGTGAAATTCAGAGAGAGCAACACGTGGCCAACTCTCCCGGTGCTGACGTGTCGATCAGCTGGAGAGAGTTGGCCTCTTATTATATATAAGATTCTTTCCTCATTCAATTTTTTTAAAAGAAAATCCATCATATAGCATCATTGATGCAGAGAGATTTAGAAATATTCTAATTATTTATATTATTATTTTGATACTTTCTTATTATTATTTTAAGGGTTTTTAGGGTTTTGAGATTTATTATAAACTAGGTGGTGACCGCGCTTCGCGCGAATTTATATTGTTGTGTTAGTTTTATTTTTTTCCGAAAATTGAATTTATTTCTATAGTTTATTATTGTTTCAAAAATATTATACACATATTAATTAATTAAATATAATTAGGGTTAGGCAAATTTCCGTCTAACCCTATCCCATCCCATTTTGTTCCTTTTAATCATATCCCGTTCTTTTCCGTCATGTTCGTCATGTCCGCCCCATCTAGTCTCATCTTATCCTATTATGTTCCTTTCCATTTTGTCATATCTATGTCCCGTCTCTGAATATAATTAGGGGTAGGCAAAATTACTGTCTCATCCCATTATGTCCCTTTCCATCTTATCCTGTCCAATCCCGTCTCATTTCGTTTCTTTTTATCCCGTCCCGTCCAACCTTTCCTTCTTATCATGTCTTGTTCTGTCTTATCATGTTCTTTCTTGTCTCATTCCTTTCCATCCCATTCTGTTTTGTCCCGTTCCTTCCCGTCATGTCCGGTTTCATCCCATTTCGATATTTTCCCTTCCGTCTAGTTCCTTCTCCTTCCCGTTCCGTCTCGTTCCTTCCTCTTCCGTCTCGTTCTTTCTCGTTTCGTCTTATTACTTCATGTCCCTCTCTGTCCCGTCTCATTCTTCCCATTCCTTTCTATCACGTTATTTTCCATCATGTTTCTTCGGGTTCCATCTCATCTCGTTTAAATTATATAATTAATTTTAACAAAACTAAAATCGTTAAATTTTTATTTATGTAGATCAATTGATATGATTCTTGTTTTATAAAAACTTTTTCAAATTCTTGTTAAAGTTATGACATGGTAATTATTATGACAATTAAAGTATAATAAAAGCAAATAAAATAAATCAAATGGAGAGTAGAAATGGCTGATGTGGAAAAATGCTGAATTTAGAAGGGTCTCTTTTGCTGAGGTGTCACCAGCAGAAGAGAATCACAAACTTTATATATATAGATAAGCCGTCTAGGCCTCCTTTTGTATGAAGTTGTTGATTATTAATAAAGAGCTTTGGCTTTGATAGAAAAGTATTCTCTATACTTGTTTTCGGTAGATCTAGAGAGATCTCAACGAGTTCAAGAAGCAGGTCCCAAACGAGGATTATATCAAATCCTTTGTTGAGCTGGCAGGTCCCGATCCATTCCTTTGAATCATTGGTTGAGTTGATTTTGTTGTAGTTTCCGCTATGATAAACACAACTCAACCAATGATTCAATGAAATGAGTTGAGACCTGCCAGCTCAACCAAGGAATTTAATAGAATTCTCGCTTGGGAGTGTTGAGATCTCAATAGATCTACCGAAAACAAGGATAGAGAATACTCTTCTCTGAAAGCCTAAACTCTTTTATTAATAATCAACAACTTAATACAAAAGGAGGCCTAGACGGCTTATTTATAATAAATCTCAAAACTCTAAAAACCCTTAAATTAACAATAAGAAACTATCAAAATAATAATAAAAATAATTAGAATATTTCTAAATCTCTCTGCATTAATCATAATGTTTTTTTAATTCCTCTCATACCATCAACTAGTTTTTTTTCCCTCTCATTACAATTTTATAAGGGTTCATAATTTAAATATTTGGGTTTGGGTTTAGAAGTTATGGTTTAATTTCTATTTTTGACAATTTTGGGTTCCAATACTCTTTTCGAAGTCTAGATTCTTCCCAGCCTTTGGTAGAAGAACAAAAAGATCCCATGCCGATAGAGTTTCATGCCTAAGAACAAAATGTTCTCACATGTTTTTACTTATGTTTGTTTGAACATTTTTTACGAATGGACGCCGCTAAAGATTATTCTTATTAGTAAATAACTTCCGAATAATCATTTCTCAAATACAATAGAGTGAAATCTCATACTAATCATTGGAGGATGAACAAACCAATAGTTTCTAGTGCTTTTGCTAGTTTTTTGTTATCCATTTCAACTCCAAGACATCCTCTTTTATAATTTTTCCAAAATCTTAGCTAGTGATTACGAGTGATGTGTCAGTGTGCAAGTCAACTTATAGTTGCATATAAACATAAAGATTCCAGTGTCCAAATTAATCTTAGACCTTCTGGATTTAGTCTCCTCACTAAGTAGTTGTCAACAAATGCCATTTAATCCTAGAGATCGTTAGGAACTTTAGAAGCTCTATGGAAAACTAGCGTTCGTTAAATTTTATGGATCTCTATCAGACTATCACTAACTACTTCTAAATACATTGTACCATCTTTAGACTTTAACTGACAGTTTCGTGGATATTAGAAAATCTAATTCTCAGTTTACTTAAAAGCAAAACTGAAAACCTATATAGTTTACCAGTTTATCAAAATACAACATTGGTGAGTAGTATAATCTTTCTTTAAACTAGTGGGGGAAAAGATCGTTCTTACACTTGTAAGATAAAGTTGTATTTATGAATTCATTCCAATAGGTATTAGTTTATTAACAAAATATGAAAAAAGGCAATAAAGCGAGAAAAAAATGAAATAAACAAACAAAAATAAAAGAGAGATGATTTGACGAGTGACTGATCAAAATATGGCAGACTGTCCGTACCTTTCTTTTCTAATTTCTGAATTGCTGACTTTTCTGTTCTTTTCTTTCTTTTCTCCCCCAAACACAATTAATTACCAATCTTTTGGAGTCAATGCACTTATCCCATTTAAAATCTGAATTCTCCACCCTCAACACACTTTATCACTCTTCTTCACACACATTCCTCGTTATTTTTTTTTTTTCTTTTGTTAAAGCACAATATTCTTCGTTATTTCTCAAATAGTTTCTAAAGTACATAAAATGACTGAGGTATTTGTGAGTATGAATGGTCGATATATATGTTTACTGTTAAGTGCCTCGTAGTACATTTCAAACGTACCTTTTTGTATAAAAACGTACTTAACGAATCTATATAACTATTCAAAAGCTTATAACGCTTTAGAACCAAATTATTTTTAGTTGCCTGTTAAAGAGAACCAAATATTTTTTTTTCATCATATTCCTAACTGATCAGTCGAACTTATAATTGATTTCAAACACAATCAACCGCAATAGCTTGTACTCAATCTTGTTTTTGTATTTTTTTATGTTTAGAAACAATTGTGTGTCAACTAATCAAAGACATTATATGCATGTATATATCTATAATGTTTTTTAATAGATCCACAGTAGTGGTCAAAAGCAAAAAATGTAGGGAAATTATAATCTTCAATAGGGAAATTTAAGAGTTTACCTCTGTTTGTCTACTTGGTGAATTATTTATGGTGAATGTTACCATTTTTATTATCATATCTCATTATCATCGACTGTAGAAAATTAGTCTCCTCTCCTTAGTTACTGTTGATAAACAGAAAAAATAGAGCGTAAGATATGATAAAAAATAATTATATCCCGAAATTAATCTCAAAGCTATAACTAGTTCACACATACCCACTTTTTCACATGTGTCATTTAATTTTTCATCCAAAATATGAATTAAAAACAGCTGGAGGTATTTTGTGAAAGATGTTTTTCCTTCGGCTCTCAAATAAATACATCATAATCTCATATATATTGGGCTCAATAAATTCCTAAAAAGGCCCATGAATACGAAATGGGCCTTACAAACAAATGGTCTCTATGATTACAAGAAATGCAAGAAAGAAAGATAAGAAACATGGTTTCATGTGAGAGGTAGAGCATCAAAGGAGTGAAGGACTTGTTCCAACACCAATCTCGTACTTGAATCCAATGGATCTTCTGGTTTGTCTGAATGAACAACGTTCAATAGATAAAGCTTCTTTGAGCTCACAAACGCAGCTGAAAAAACCCTTTTGATTCCTCCTCTCGTGCTATCGATCTTGTACTCAAATTCGTAAACTTTCTGTGATCCTGATGATCTCTCTCCCACTGATACAACTTCTGCTTCCTTTGTGCTTTCCTGAGATTCAACAACAACAAACAAATCAAGACAAATTTTACCAAAAAAACAAATCAAGACAAATCACAAACAGCTTCCAACTTTTTGTGTGTGTTCTTTGATCTTGTTAATTACCTTTCGTTTCTCTGCGTTGATAAGCTTATCAGCTACAAACTGAGGAGTACCAAAGTCTTCAAGACTCTTTATACGGACAGGACTCACCACAACTCCTATATTGTTGCTACGAGCTTCTGCTTCTTCAAACAGAGCGTTTGCTCCTGCTTTCTCTACCTTTAAACAAAACACTCATCCTCAATTTCAATTTCAAGAACTAATGAATGAGCATTTGGAATATACCTTAATCCAAGAAGAGGGTACGAGAAGAGTGAAGCCATTTTCGGAGTCATTGTATCTTTCAAGATCTCCAGATTCTGAGATGGATTTGGCATGGTCCAATACAAACCCATTGAACAAGAGCGTGAGAATCGAGAGATTCAATTGTCTCTTGCTGAAATTGATTCCAATGGTAGATGGTTGATTTTGGGCATAGCAGAGGAACTTACAGTTCTTCTGATAATAAGAAGAAGAAGAAGAAGAAGAAGAAGAAGAAGAAGAAGATAAGAAGAGAGACACTTTGGGAAGAGACGAGAAATGCAAAGAAGCTACAAAGCTTGACGACCACATTTCGCTTACAAAGGTCCAAACTTTTTCGAGGAAAAGATAATAAAGTTATCATTTTTTCCCTCAATTGTCAAATGATTTAAAGAAAAAATTGATTCTTTCAACTTAAAAGGGTTTGATTTTTCAATATTTATTTGCAATTAAAGGAATCGAAAGCACGAAACTTTGTTGGTCTACTCAATAACCAGAGCCAAATTAATAACTTTAAACCAAAATTTGTGTGCAAAACCATCGTAGAACTAAAAAAGAAACGACATTTGATCCATCAATCAGACATAGAAGCATACATATTCCTCCAAACCTCAGGCACGCTCTGGCCACAATCCTCCAAGACATTCACCAACGGACCAGCCGGATATTTCGCCGCCTCCTTCTCCGTCAAAAAGCTATGCAGTACGCCGTGAACACTGTCTCTAGCCATACTCGTCAGAATCTGAACATAAGTAGCGAACGACGGAACAAAATCCGGAAGCAGAATGGTTTCAAAGTCCCTCATTGCTCTTGTATCCAACTGTTCTATATCAACCAATCTTGCCACTGGCTTCTTGCTGAAAAACCAAAGAGAACAAAACAAATCGTTAAGAAGGACAACAAAAGCTATGGACTTTTTATGATAATTATATGACAAATTCTTCACCTCTTTTTGATTTCTTCACTATTGGCTGAAACAGAGAGACCTTTCAACATAAGTAAAGCCTTTAACTTTCCGAAATTCTCTTCCTTTGTAACAATGTATATCATCTTAGACGAAGATGACTCCACAACCTCTGAAAACTACCAACACATAAAACCAAATGTCCAAACTTTAAGCAACTCTTCTTTCTTATAACCTCACATTCACAAAAAAACTATTAAAGTTTAAAGTACCTTCTCCAGCTTTTTGTCCTCCGAGGCGCAGACATTAACAGTCTGGAGAATACAAGAGCCTTGAGAGGTTACAGAATCAGTGAGAGAGAGTCTATTAACTGATGATCCTCCTTCTAAAAGACTCTGGACGGCTGGAATATAGGAAGCACTGAAACTGTCGTTGAAGACTACCGATACGTGTTCGCTGCGAATGGCCTGCTTGATTGATTTCACAGCGTCTAGGTAACCACTAGTGCAAAGTGAACCTAGCTCATCAATAACCTGTATAAGAATATCAAACAGCAGTGTTTAACAACTTTGTATATAATAAGATGAAGTTAGAGAGACACCAAGGAGCAGATAAAGTGAAACAACTAAATCTGAAAACTGTTGAAGCTCAAGAACAACTAAACCAGGGAAGGAGAGGAAGATAAAGATTTTATCATACCAGCAATGAAACGCCAGAGACATCAACGCCCTTCAAGTTAACAATCTCCAAAAGTCTCTCAGGTGTAGAAACAAGAAACTCAGGCTCAATGTACTTCAATCTACAGCTCAAAACACAGCTTGTTAGATAGATGTATGAAACAGACTAGATTGAGAAGAGAAAAAGAAAGAGATATATATATACCCATCAATCTGACGATCTATTGACGTCCCTTGGTGTATGCTCAATGCGTGTACTCCTTGAGTTTTCAGTGCCTTGCAAACCGATCGTACCTAAACCATGACAACAAGTAAAAAGATTCAAGATTGCATCTTTATCAACATTTGGTTTCCAAAAAGATTCAAGATTGCATCTTTATGTGATCCCTAACCTGGTTAGCTTTAGACTGAGAAGGGACGAGCCACAAGAGGAAAGGGCTGACGATAAACGAGTCCTCAGGGAGCTCTTTCTCCGATTTAGCAATAGCATCAACGGCCGTCGAAGCAATCCAAGCGATCTGCTCCACTGTGGAAGACGTTCCGCTTGTGTCAAGAACGTCTTTGCCAGAGAGGAAACATTTCCAGAACTCAATCCCCCAAGTGCTAGTGAATAAGGACTTGTCATCATCATCACTACCGTCTACGCGAAGAGAGCTCTCTATCTCGTTTAAGCACGACACAAGAAACTTCACTGGACCCTTCTTCTTCTCAACAATCCATTTCCTAACAACATCTTCTTCTTCTTCCTGCTGCTCATCAACGACGTCGTTTATGGGGATTGGAGATGGTTTCTTGTTTTCTCTCTTTGATTTAGACTTGAGCTTCTTTTTGGCTTTCTTTCTGGTTATTATATCTGCTTTGCCTTGCCTTTCGTTGAAAGGATCTTCAGGTGAAGGGAGGCTAAAACACATTCCCTAAGATTCAATAACAAACAATTACATCGAATTCTTAAATTGATTATAAATTCCATTTCGAAGAACGTTTTTAATTAAATTTATGGTTTCATCGAACCCTAGAAAATGAAATCGGAGAGTGGATTAAAGAGTATGTACCTGACACATACTGCGTTTGCCAGTTTTGCGGCGTTTTTTGGCGGCGATAAGGGCGGCGATGCGAGCGGATACAGTGGCGGAGTCGTTTTTTCGGCTCATCTTCTTCCTCGTTAGTTTATTCTTCTTCCTCGCCAAAGCATCGTCGCCTTTCGCCATGGTTTTTCTTCGGTGGAGGAGGTTTTTTGCTCAGTAGCTTTCTTCGGCGGCCGTTGCTAACACTTTGCCTTTAGCTTCCGGATGGTTTCTCTTTATATACTTGTGGCAATATTGTAGTTTAGTCAAAGTTTTGAGGTTAATTCGGTCGTTTGGTGGTTATGTACATCGAATGTTACAATCTCATCCCAAAGACCGGCTTGATTGGTGATAAACCGGTTTTTTCTTACCTCTTGATATACTAACCAATTTTGATTTGGTATAAGAGCAATTTCATCACTGGTTTTAACCCAGGTTTTTAGAGAGTTTTAAACATTTTTATCAATTTTAAAAAAAAAAATGATAAAAAAAAATTAAATATGTAAAACCAACTCTTAGCAAGAACTTTGAGCAAGGTTTTGGCTTGCTCAAAACCTTCCACTCGCGATGGCATTTATTCAAGAAAAAAAAGAAAAAAAAATAAACTAGTTCTTCTCCGTTTTAATTTCCAAATTTTTATTCAAATATTTTGTATGTATTTCTATGTTTCAAAATTTAATAAATACAATATATTTTATGTTTTTTTTATGTGTTATGTTTTAAATTATAAATTTTGTAAAATTAATTTTTTTTTTTAAGAACCAAATAAAAGTATTAAGGATGGAGGAATGGATAAATAAATACGAAACCACACCATTAATTTGTGTGAAAATTAGTAGTAATAAAAAATGTTTAGAACAAAAAATTTGGTTTTAAGGATGGAGATGGTCTTGTAATCTGCCTCGGGGTCTATCACCACTACAAAAACGGAGGTAGTGCGTTAGTGTGGGTCATGCAATGCATATTACGACAAAACAAATGGATTGTTCTACTTTTATGAAGATGGTGTCTAAATCTAATGAGTAGCCGGCATTCACAATCCTACTTCACTAAATCGAGAAATGCATTAGATTTTATCTAGCATTAGATTCCACTAGTTTGGAATCAATTTTTAGAAACTTTGGGTGTTGAAAAAAAAATCCATACAAGAAGTACAATATAAGAAATTGGTATTATTATCTTTCTAAAATGTATATGTCGTCGCTTGTGAATTTGTGATCTATCTAGTCAAAGTTAACCGGTGAGTATCTAGCATTCCGGTTGGTACCGGTTTGGTTAACCTCTAGACCGTCACATTAGGATATCTTCCTCCAAGAACAAAAATTTACAGCAAGAAAAACGTTAGAGCTTCCACCGTAGACGAAACCAGAATCACCATTAGCAAAATTGTTGCTCCCATAAAACGAAGCACTCTACATTACTAAACAAAACAAAAATCAGTTTGCTTTTTTTCTTTTCTTTTTCTCCAAACGAAGAACAACAATTATGGACTAAGTTGTGGTGCTTGTTCTGAACATATCGTGATCTCTTGTTTCTCTTCCTCCTCCACAACACAAACTTTAGATTCAACCACTCTTTTCTCTTCACCATTGACTCTCGTCTCTGTCTCCGTAATGGAATGCTTTCTCCTGTGAGTCAGGTCGCAATTTGAAGAAGCCAAGTGATCCAAAGCCATAACCACATCCGATATCACAGGTCTCATGCTCGGCTGTTCTTGAACACACATCGCAGCTATCGCAAGCGCTTGGTACAACGCTCTCACCGGATACTCTCCTTCTATCAACAACGGATCAACCATTTTCTTGAAATTCTTCCTATCTTTAAACAACGGAAGCGCCTGCAAAAATTACAAAACCTCTGAATCATAAAACTCAAGCAAAAAAGATGATCAAAAGTGAGAGACTTTGTTTTATCTTTACCCATGTAACAAGATTCTGATCTTTACGTGCTTTTGTGTTATCAATCGCCTTCCTTCCAGTGATAAGCTCAAGAAGAACAACTCCAAAGCTGTATATATCCGATTTGAACGTTAGCTGACCAGTCATTGCGTACTCAGGAGCACAGTATCCGTACGTTCCCATGACTCTCGTCGAAACGTGGGTCTCGTCTCCGCTTGGTCCCACTTTCGCTAACCCAAAGTCCGAGAGCTTTGCATGATAGTCTTCGCCGAGCAAGATGTTAGAACACTTGAGGTCACGGTAGATCACAGGAGGCTTCATTGTATCGTGGAGATACTCTAGTCCTCTTGCTGCTCCAGCTGCTATCTTCATCCGAATGCTCCATTCAAGCGGTTTCTTGCCATGTGGAAGATCTTAAACCAAACAGAGGAAACAAAAGTTATATGCATATAGAGAGAGAGAGAGAGATAAAGAGCAATTTGGTTTTGAGTATTACAACATACCATAGAGGTGGTTTTCAAGAGATCCTAGTGGCATGTACTCGTAGACCAACAGTCTCTGAACACCCTCAGCGCAGAATCCGATAAGCTTTACGAGGTTTGGATGGTCAGCGAGGCTTAATGTCAACACTTCAACGACGAATTCTCTGATTCCTTGAGCACCGTTACGGTCAAGTTGCTTGATTGCAACAACCTGTAACAATGAATCATTTCACAGAATGTTGAAATCTCTAACCATCTTAAGCCACATTACACAATATATGTATATACCTGATTGATTTTGTGAATGAAACCTTTGTAAACTTTTCCGAAACCTCCTTCGCCTAAGAAACAATCCGGCTTGAAGTTATTCGTGGAAATGGAGAGTTCTTCAAATGTGAAAGTCTGTGCTTTTTTCCCTGGAACTTCGTCTTCAACATTCGTATCTTTCGCATCTAAAGCTAATTGATCCTCTTTTGTAGCTGGTTCCTTGTTTACATCTCCACCACATGGACTACTCACTTTTATGCAATCTGTACAACAACACATCGAATCAAGACGAATCATCAAACGATTCAAAAAACCAACAAACGATTAAAGAGGACGAGTAAAACCTCTAATGCATAACACTAACAGAAGAAGATAAGTTCAATATCGATTTCTCAATCGATTGAAGAACACAAAGGGAAGTATCGCGCAATAGACATATGAAACGGCGTTTTCGAAAATGTAGGTACAACGGATAACCTAGAAACGAAGAATCCAGATCGAAAAATTCCCAGAAATTCGCAGATTCTGAAATGAGAAATCAAAACGATACCTGATGTGGGATGCGTCTGAGCATCGCGATTGGCATTCTTACGGACGGAATTTCCTTCGATCGCGATTTTGTTTTTGGTAACATCGATGATGTTCTTCGCGGTTTTGGGATCCGATCGTTTGTTTGATTTCGCAGCTCGTCCGAAACATCCCATGGCTAAATCTAGCAACCTGGAACGGATCGTGTATTGCTCTTCTCCTTCACTCACCGGAAAACAAAAAAAAACATTAAGAACGCGAAGAAACGAAAATCAATACTAGAGAATCGCCAGAGAAAAACGGAAAATTCTGATTTTCTCGGGAAAGAGGAAGAGTTACGGAAAAGAAGAAGAGAGAGAAGAGAGGAGAGGAGGGCAAAGTGAGAAAGATGCTTAATTTGAACTTTTTTAACAATTACTACGAGGTTGTTATAAATAGTAACCTTTAGGTTAAATTGGCCTTTGGTTTTGAGTTAGTAAAACTGTAAAAGTAAAGATCTGACTATGTGGGAAGCTCGGTCAAACCTTTGGTTTGTTTACCGACTTACCGTATGTTTATGAGTTTGACTTGGCACTTGCTTTGTTGGACATGTGATTTTTTTTGGATGTTGGTATTGTGGTTTAGGGTGTCAAATTGAGGTCAAGATGCTGTATGCAGACGTAAACCGTCCTGTCATGAAACGGTTTAGACTTTAGAGCTCTAATTTTAGATACCAAGAAAGTTAGTCTTTTGTGAACAATGGTTTTTATAAGTTTTAATTTTAAATTTAGTACATAATGTAGTTTTTCTTTGAAAACTAACTATAATATGTGTTGAAGGCTTCGAGGTAGATTTCTCTCCCAACAATTCAGTTCATAAAAATTCAAAGCCTAAATCTAAAGAACTAAGACAATTTTATGAAAGTCTACTAGGAAGACTTAAGACCCATTAAGATCTCGTCCAAGTTTATCTATGTATCGATCAAACTACGATAACTAACTTTTTCGCGGAGAAATCAGGTTCTTTGAATGAGCATAACGAGTCAAAAAATTCGGTCCATTCTAAGATTTAAGGAAATTGGAGTTGCACGTGGGCGAGATATGAGGAAAAGATTAAACAGACTTCAGAAGATATATAAAGAAGAGGTCATCAGTTTGCTGAGGGTAATAAAAACCGACCCGGAACCGACCCAAAAAAACCGGTTCCGGGTAGTATCCATTTAGGCCTAAATCACCTGTTGGTTATTTTTCTTCTATACCCACAGTTTTCGGGTCGGTTCCGGTTATTACCCGTTTACCCGTGGGTATCTATTTAGATCCGACTTGTGTCTTTATTCCTTAATTTTGAAACTGATGTATTGTTTTTTTTTTTTTTGTCTCTTTGGTGTTTTAAACCTTGAATGTTTGAATATTTGAAAGTTCAAAAATTTAAATTTGTATTGTGTGGTTCTAACTTATTAAAATCTAATGAAGTTTATTTGGATTTTTGTGGTTCAAAAGTGAGAAATTCGGGTAAAATCAGGTTAAAACGGGTACAAACGGGTAAAAAACCCGTTTAATACCCGAAACCGACGAGTATCTGCAGTTTCTCGGATAATTTACAGTTATTTTTGCACAAGACCCGTTAGACCCGGAACCGAAAGGAACCAATCCGGAACCGACCCGAAATGGTAGCGGGTCCTATTTGAATAAATAATTCAAATAATCGTAGGATCCGGAACCGAAAAAACCGACCTAGAACCAAACCGAGTACCCATTATGCCCATGCCTAGCTGAGGGCATCTTTTTCCTTACTTTCTTTTAGTGCAAAATCACAAGAAATCTTGTAATTGGTTTATTAAAGTCTTTTATTCATTTTTTTCAATAAATTTTGTAATAAATTCATACCAACAAAGAAACACTTTTCAATACTAATCTGATTCGAGAGAATCTATCATTTGATTCTACTATAGCTTTCCACTTACAAAATACTTATAAATTAAGAGTGTGGATTTCATAACCCACAATATGTTAGATTAATATTATTTGTTTTGACATTTCAACAACTATACTAGGATAACACCGGTGCTATGCATGAGCCTAACATTGATAGTTGATGAAGTTAATAGAAAAGGTAAAGAATCATTTGTAGTTCGGTTGAGTTTTGATTTGGATATACGCTCTTCAAAGATTTTTTTGGTATTTCATTGTAATTTATATTAAAAATAAATTCGATAAATAATTATGTATTCGTTTCATTTTCGATATATAAACAACTATTCAGACTTTCATGAATGTTTTCTCTTTTAAAAGTTTCATCTCAAAAGTCAAAACCCATGTAATTATATTTATTTTCATCGCATTGACTTTGTCCAGCTTTATGGTGAAAGCTTTGATAGTTGTTTGTGAATATGTTGTCAATCTTCCATCTCAAATCCGTTTTGTTTTACAGCAAAAACACCATAAATGCTCTTTCAGTCCAAATCCTTTTATGATAAGTAACGAACTTTTCTCATTACGTTCGTACTTTTGCTGAACCAATTTTAAGAATTTGTTACTTCTACGTATTGAACAACAGTCTTACATTTCTGCATCAAAATCATAAATAGTTTTAGAAACTGATTTTTCCAAAGTGTAAATGTTTCACATAAAAACATAAATGACAAACCAAGGTCATGTTAATAATGTAAAAGAATATGGTAATGTTAATGTAAATCATAGATTCATAACCTGAAATCACTGTTTCTCATACCAAACACATGTGTTTAGATCAATAAGCTGAATTGTATAAGATTTAACCATAACCTTTCACATGCGAACAGAAATTATAAGAGAGTGTGGTTTTCATAACCCACAATATTCTTTTGTAAAAGTATCCCACAATATGTTTAGAATAATATTTTTTTGTTTTGACGTTTCAACAACTACTTGATGTGAATCATGTGATTATTTAATACCGATCAGTGTATTAGAGTGGATTCTACTAATGTTCTAAAAAAATATGTTGAAACTTTTCATATGTCACTTAAACTATGTACATTGGTTTAAACTTTTAACACTTTACTTTTTACAATTTTACATTACACATTAGTTTTCTCTTTCTTCCATAGAATATTTAATATTTATTCAACTTTTATTTTCACTTTACTTTTTACAATTTTTTACTATTATATATCAGTTTTCTCTTTCTTCCATTGAATATTTAATATTTATTCAACTTTTATTTTCTCTATTGATTTTGTTTGATAAAATTCTAACACTCTGCCCTACCACTTTATATTTCATTAAAAAAACTTTTTTTGTCAAAAATACATGAAACAAGTATCTATTTATAAAATATGGAAATGATGAATTTTGATATAAATTTTTTAAAATAATAAATTAGTTTATTATAAAATAACTGATCTTAAATAATTATGATGAAATAAGAAAAATATAGAATTCTAACATCCAATAACAATCACACATGTGTCTCACCAAATAGTGTTTACTTCATGCTCAGTCGTAAATATGGACAACACCTTCTATTTATTGGTTCCAGATGGTGCCACATTACTATTGTTGTCACCAGACAGTGCCACATCACTATTCAACAAGATTTAGTCCACTTCATCTTTTTTATTCTTTCAACACCTTCGTCGTACACATTTAAGAGTACTCTTCAATTTATTCAGTTAGCCCATTGTAAATATCAGATTTGTTTTTGTTTGTTCTTCACATTTTCACCCCAAAAAAATAAGTTGTTTTTGTTTTGGGGCACATTTTTCTCACATATTTATATATACACGCGTCAAGCTATAATTACTTTATTTTCAATAACATATATATTTTGATGCAGTTTTACATATTATTAATTAAAAAATAACATATATACTAGTAGAGGATCCATGCAAACGCGCGGTGTGACATTGCGATTTTGTGAAGAAAATATAAATCATAAACCTGAGCCGACCCAAAAACCCTAATCCAAAATTTTAAAAAACCCAAACGTTTTTAATATGTATAAACCCCGAAAATTCGAAATCCAAAAACTCCCGAAAACCCTGAACCAAATAAAAAACTCTAAATTTTTTGACCTTCGAAACCCTAATCTGACCTAAAAGCCCTAATCAAAATTTTAAATATTCAAACTTTTTTAATATATCTAAATCCGAAAACTTGAAATCCAAAAAATCCAGAAAACCTTGAAGTGAACCCAAAAAAAGTGGAACTCAAACCGAACAGAAATTTTCAAAAAAAAACCGAACAATTTCTATATCTCTATATATCTATAAAATTAGGAGAAACTTGAATTTAACCCGAATTAAAATTTAAAAAAAAAACTTTAAACCCGAAAATCCAAAATCATATTCTATTGATTTGGTATTATCGTTAGATTATGTTACGTTTTTTTTTTGTAGATTTTTAAGAGCTGGAAAACAGAAGTTTTCTAAACCATCGGTTTGTTTTAAGTTATTATTCTTGTATCCAAACAATTTTTTCTATTTATTCTTCTATCCAAATAGTTATTTCTCTTATCCTTGTATCCAAACATTATAATGTACTAAATTGACCTTCATTAAATTTGTTGTTAAACACTTTCTATTTATAATTAGATTGGTTTTTTGGTTATAATTTTTTCATGTACTTCTCAATTAATAATAATATAAAGATTATTGAGGTTTGATTTTAAATAATTCGAAAAGCATCCAATATAGTTTGATTTAACACGTCCTTAAATAAAAAAAACTTTCTTGTATTCTAAATCTGTCTTGCATTCTTTCTATAGTTGTATTAAGAAAAATCAAACTATGATGGAAAAGGGCAAAAGCGAAGGTGGCTGCTGGCTTCGCCATCGCACTTTTTGACAACGTATCAAACTATCTTTCTTCCATCACCAATCACTCAATCACCAAACAAAATTAGAAAATAACTAAAACCAAAGAAAACAAACAGAAATATTTATCCACCTCTAAAGTTCAAGCTCACAAGTAACAAGTAAAAGCATAACAAATTAAACATGTTGACTCTTGATCCTTGTAGTAACTTTTACATATTCGTCGATGATTTCTTGTAATAATTTTCTTTTACTTGTTAGCGATCAATAATATATGTTCTTGGCATCTTATTACTTTCACAAGTAAAAGCGGAAAAAAAGTCAATTAGCTAGCAAAAGTAATAAAGCACACTTAACTATACATATATTGCATTAATTTTAAGTTACAACCACATAATTAAGAACAATCATTCAAACCAAACCAAACCAAACCGAACAAAAATATCTCCCAGAAGACATCATTACTCCACTTAAAAAACACGTAGAAACAACAGATTAGGGAGATATTTTTGTTTACCACACACATAACAAAAGCAAATTAATCAATCACACCATTACGTATTGAACCCAGTTTAACCCACAAAAAAACGAAGTTAAACCGGGCGTACCACACCAATTAAAAGCAAACCACAATAAAACCGAACCGGATTTGGAGAAAAAGCAGCGTTATGTTTTTCAAAAACGAACAGAACCGCACAAGCTTTCTCTCGGAGTAGTGCCACGGTGGAATATTAATACCAGTGGCACTTTCGTTATTATGTCTTTTTAATCTGTTTTCTTGCTTTAAGAAGACTGGTTGATCTGGTCGGAGTTGTAACCGCTCGTCGGAGGAGTGGCGGTGGAGGAAGATGAGCTTCCACCACCACCTCCGGCTTTCCTCCCGAACGCTCCGCCGGCTCTCGCGGCTGCGGAAACGACGGAGTTAGCTATAACACCGAATATCTCTCTCTTCACTCTTCCACGTCGAGGCGGAAGTTCCGCCATCTTCACGGTGGAGGACTTAATCGCCGGAGATTCCATGGAAGAGTTTCTCTGCAAGAAAAGAACATGAGTTTGTGTAAGAATCAAATCTATACAAAGAGATTGAAAATTCAGCGAAAAAATATTGAATTTTTGAAGATCTCATGATCAAGAATCAAGTGATCAAATCTACAAAGTAAATAAAAATGGAGGGTTCTTTTATATTAATGGCATAAAGAAATGGTACAGATAAGGCCAGGCTTGCTTCTTGTTAAAGCAATACAAAAACCAAAAATTTGAAAAAAAGTGAATTTGTTTTTTTTTGCTTATGAGAGGAAGAAGAAAAGTAGAACGATAAGAAGAGAGAATGTGTGTTCACTTATAGGAAGAGAAAGAGTAAGGGTGTCTCCAAAATTTGAGTTAGTTATTATACAAAAGTGATTATGAATTGGTCTTCTCTCCGTATTTATAAATTATATTAAAGGAAATGTGGTAAAGTTCGGTGATTTTTCATAATGCATGGTGGGTCAATTGTTTTAGAGGGGGTCTCAATCGCATATCATATTGCATACAAATACATTGTATTACAAATTTGTTATGATTATGATTTAGGAATACTTAACATGTTTAATCATTTTTAGGAGTATATAATACGATAAAACCACTTGTTGCATCCAAGTCTATGAGGGAAGTGGTCTATAGTATAAAGCGTGTTGAGTCATATATTATTTTATATGAATATAGTTACGGAATTAAATTAATAAATGGACATACTAAGACTTATATGCTACTATTTGTGTTTGTGGTATCAAGTTTTTTGCATGAATCTATGGGACATTTCAGTGTAACTAGTCAGAATCTAGATAAGATGAAGGAAGGAAAGTTTTGAGAAAGTTCGGGTGTTGACTTTGGTAGAGGAAAACATTCATCTTGTGTCTCTTACTATCAGATCAACATTAGAGTTTGTAGTTGGTTTCTACACGTTCAAATATTTAATTGCATTTCTTGTTTTTTGTTACATTATTTATTGCATGGAATTTATAGTTTTAATGAAAATACCATAGCTTAAAAAATGTTTGATATACAAAAGTACTGAAAGATTCCTGTAAACGATTTATTTTAGATTTCGATCTTGTTAGAAATGAGATATTTTCTAAAAAAATGTAAAGTAAAAAACATTACTACATTTTATCAATCCATGGCGACTAAGTCTCTCTAGTTATCTCTTATCTGCCATCTCCACCGTCGTTGCCTCGTTGGCAAGCAATTACATCATCCGAAATCCGAATCTCAGTAATGTCACTAGAATGACATATTCCAGGAAATTCAGAGCAAGGCTCAAAGGAAACCGATAAAAAAGTATGTTAGTCAAACAAATGTCCCAATTTCATCCATCCACCGTCCTTATTTAATCGTTAAAAAAAGCATACCAGTCTTTCAAGTGGTACACATAAAAAGAAAAAGTGCACACGAAATATTGTTAAATAAAAGTTATAATAATAGATAGTGAATAGGATTAGCCAAAATAGGGTCGCCAAGTTAATGGAAATACGAAAATATTAATTATGTGTATATAATCAGTCTTTTGTCATCATTAATTATAAACACTACTTCGATAGAGGCCTCTTGTACATAAAGGCTCTAACCAGTAACCACCATGCCACCACGATGGAGGACAGTAATATGTCAATATCTAATCATCCAAAATCATGAAACATTCGGCCGTCCTTCCATTTACAAGGCCTATATTTCTATAGCTTAATGATTTACATAATCTTGAACTACTGTAAAAATGATGTATGTACTTTGAAGAACGATTAGTGAAATGCAAGAATTAATCATGATACATAATTGTAATTCTTTATCCAATTTCTAGCTAATACTATGCACACTATATATCATTTCTGTTCTTCGTTTCTATCTTCCACCATATACATATTTAGGTCCGTTCCAAAAAAAGAAAATTTGGATTTTGTGTCTAGTTAAAAGAAAATTCAAAAACATTTTCTATATATTATATAGGGAAGATTACTTAATTAGCACACATTCATTGATTTATTACTAGATTAGCTCTTTTTTTTTTAATTACTGACAATTATTTTATGTCCAAAAAGCCCTTATATCATTTGTTCTGAAAAAATATAATTACAAAAATGCCATTATTTTTCATTTATTTTTTAATAAAAAACGGAAAAAATATAACGAAATTGCCATTGTAAAATTAAGTCTATATAAAAAATCTATTACTTAATGATAACAGACTTAAATTAACCATCATATTTTAATTAGGTAACAGACTTTTATCACAAAGTTATTTACAATAATAACAGACTTGTTTCTTAATTCTATTGCATGGGACAACAGTTTTATTTTTTGTAGCAAACTTATTTACAATAACAGACTTATATCTTTAAGTCTATTCTATGAGACAACAGTTTTATTTTTTCTACCAGACTTATTTACAATAATAGACTTCTGTCTAGACTTGTTTTTTTTCTAATAGACTTATATCTGACTAGAAATCAAAGGTCACAGATTTTTTGCGTTGTGACCACAGATTTACTAATTTTTGGCAGACTTGTTTTTTCTTTACAGATTTATTTCGTTGATTTATTTTTCAACGGCAGACTTATGTATGTATATGCTTACAGATTTATATTTTGAGACCTCTATGATGATGGACTTAATATTAGTCTATATAAATCTGTTATCATTAACAGACTTATTTAATTTAAAATCATAATTACTAGATTAGCGTTAATGTGGTGGCAGATTTAAGTTTACGTTACAACAGATTTATATTTTTAAATCACTTGATTTATTTGGTGACAGTTTTTTTTTCCTACACACGCACAGATTTTTAAGAAATTTCATTCTTACCAAATTTATTATGTGACAGACTTGTTTATCTATGTTGTGACAGACTTAATGCTACAATTACTTTTGTAAAGAAATTTTGGTAAAAAATTGTGATGACGTGACATTATTGACTCGTTAATGGAAACAAAAATTAATGACTTTGGAAAAGACAAAAAAATCACTATCACATAAAAATTAGGTTTAGCCGTCGCTGTCTTCTACCTTTTCTGGAAGTTCTAATTTTTTCATGTTCATCACCACCTCTTGCTTTACGTTCTGATTTTTTCTAAACTCTGATTTCATTACATCCATTCTATATCAGGTATGACACAAATTATTCTAGTATGCGGTAAATGGATGTTCCAGGACGACAGATGGATATTTTTTGTTGATGACAAAAGAGGAAGCAAAATTATAGCAGCAAACGATAGAACAAGTTATGAAGATTTCGTTGGGATGGTGATTGAGGATTACAAAGTCGATTTTCGGATCTACGATGTACAATTGAGCTACATGTTTTCTAAAAAGATACTGCTTACACTACCGAAAAGTACACCACCGGTTAGGGTCACCAGTTGTAGACAGCTTCATGGCTTTTTGGAACAAGGAAAAGATAAGCCGTTGCACTTATGTGTCGAGCTTAAAGAGAAAGGTAGAGAACCAGTTATGTGTCCTTCGAAAAAGGAATCCGCAAATATCAAAGATCAAGATGACGATGAAGATGGTGATGAAGATGACGACGAGGATGGTGATCGGTTTGATTATTGTGACGATTCGGACGGAGCATCTTCTGGTGATGAAGATTTTAGATCGTACGGGACGCATCCAAAAGAAGAAGAGAATGAGGAAAAATCTCCAGCTGCGAAATTAGGTACTACGTCTACGAACACTCAACCAAAACGAGTTAGTCAACATGTTAAGTTAGAAATATCCTCACTTAACCTAGTTGTTGGACAACAATATGAGTCGAAACATGAACTAGAGACCAGGTTGAAGATTTTGTCGGTTCTACATCAGTTTGATTTTAAAGTCGACAGATCAGCGACAGACCTATTCACTGTTAATTGTTGGGTGGAAGGCTGTAGCTGGCGAGTAAGAGCGACACCAGTTGGAAAATCTGAAAAGTTTACTGTTCGTGTGTACATAGACAAACACACATGTTCTGTTACGGAGCGTTCTGCTCGTGCCCGCCAAGCTACTCCTGACATACTTGCATTACTATATGTGAATTCCGTTGGTGGTGTTGATTCAAAAGTACTACCAAAACATGTCGCAGAAGCATTAAACATGAGATTTGGTATCAAGGTATTATTTTGTCATCCTTTATTTTGTTTTATATCATAAATCATCCACTACAAATTTGTGAAATTTTCACTAGACGTTCCAAATTCATTGACTTATGTTTAACTTTTGTGTGTGTATTGTTTGAATTTTAGGTTGAGTTATACATAAGATGCCCATATATACGTCTATCTTGTAGTTGAATTTCTGGCTTTCTTATTCTCATGTTGTAATTTTTTTTTTTTGGTAACTAGATGGATTATTGGAAGGCCCATCGAACTCTTCTACGTGCAAGAGTTTTGGTTAGAGGTTCTCCAGAAAGTGGATACTCAGAGTTACCGACATATCTCCACCAGATAAGACAAGCAAATCCCGGAACTTTCACGCGTTTGGAAGTCGATGAGTTCCAGAGATTTAAGTATTTATTCCTTGCATTTGGTGCTAGTATAAATGGGTTTCCATTCTTGAGAAAGGTAGTTGTTGTTGATGGTACCTTTCTAAAGGGAAAATATAAAGGAACACTACTGATCGCATCAGCTCAAGATGGGAATTTCCAAATATTTCCAATTGCTTTTGCAGTCGTAGATACAGAAAATGATGATTCTTGGGAATGGTTCTTCCAGCAGCTTAGTAATGTGATTCAGGATGATGAAGGACTTGCACTTATTTCTGATAGGCACCAGTCTATTGGTAACGCTATTAAAAAAGTTTATCCCAAGGCTAGTCGTGGAGTTTGTACCTACCATCTGTACAAGAATATCTTGCAACGTTTTCGTGGTCGTGATGCATTTCGCTTGGTTAAGAAAGCAGCAAATGCTTTTAAAATATCAGATTTCGATGCAACATTTGATGAAATAGGAGTGTTGAATCCAGCACTACATAGGTACCTCGTAAAAGCTGATGTTAGAAAGTGGGCTCGTGTGCATTTCCCTGGAGACCGGTACAACTTAACTACAACAAACATAGCAGAGTCTATAAATAAAGCGCTTTCAGATGCGAGGAGTTTGCCAATAGTACGAGTATTAGATGCAGTGCGATCAATGATGACGAGATGGTTTGCAGATCGGAGGATGGATGCAGGATCAATGAAGACAACCCTGACTCGTGGCGTAGAGAAACTGTTGGAGGTACAAGCCAAAATATTTTTCTATATTAACTGCTTGATTTTAATCTGAATACGCTAACATTTGTAGTTGTTTTTCTTTGTTTTACTCCAGAAACGTGTACAACAAGCTAAGCTCTATAAGGTGCAAGCAATAGATGTACACCATGCACAAGTGACATGTGGTATGTCTTTGAATGTAGTAAATCTGAAAGAGAAAAAATGTTCGTGTCGTCGTTTTGATGTGGAGAAGTTACCATGTGTGCACGCCATTGCCGCAGCTGAAGCACGTAGAATTTCTCCCATATCAAAATGCGATCCATACTATCACAAGAACTACTTTTACAATGCATACTCCACTTCTGTAATGCCAAGGGATGCTGCTTCACCTGTTTCCGAAGATGTCGCCTCTAAAGTGTGTTCACCTCCCATAGTACGCAATCCGCCAGGTAGACCTAAGAATTCAAGAATGAAATCAGCATTGGAGAAAGCCACAGCTAAAAAGCGGCCTCGTAAAGAATACACATGTTCTCGATGTCATAGAGTTGGTCATAATTGTAAGACATGTAAGGCTCCTATTGAAGTTTAGGGTTGCTTTATTCGAAGTGATGAGTTTAAATTTGTTTCTTTGGCTTTTACTCATACGTTAGTTTATATTTCGTACTTTTCTTTCGAGTCTTATTTTATTGCATTGTTTTCTTTTCTTTACTTTTAGTGATAGTGCTATGTCATGTTTGGTTTAGATCATAGTATCATTACACAAAATGCGAAAGTTACAAAAAAATACGTGGACTTGGAATAGAAACTCTACTTGGGAATATGAATCATACTAGGAATAGGAACTCTACTTAAAATAGGAACTTTAATTGCAATATGAATCCTACTTGGAATAGGAACTCTATTTGATGAATCATACTTGGAACTTACGTTGGAATCAAGAATTCAAGTTAATTTTTCTAAATGAGTACATAAGGGCTATGAAATACTCTTTCGATTAAAAAACAAAAGACCATCGTGAAATCTATTTTAAAATAACAAAAATAACTGATCCAATGAAAACCAAAAGCAAAGAAAACAAAAGTCATAAAGAAATCAACATAAACCTCTATGCATCGCCGAGCACATATGCTGTGAAAGAGAAACACAAATTCACAAATGTGGTATAATTTTTTTGACCAATAAATCGTCATTTTAAAGTCAGCAAAACTCACCGAACTACCCAACCAGCCGTAGTCTTGTGTACACCATTTATCCCTCGGAGTAATTAGCTTTATGTAAAATTCGACATTTGAATCCCATGTCGCAATTGGTTCCATACTAAGAAAATGTAGAATAATGTTAAGATGTTAGTAATCTTGGTTAATATATATCAACATGTATTAAAAAATATTTCTGAAAGTACTTACTCATCTTGCCGTATAAAATCCAACAAATCATGTGCTTTAGTCTCATCCACTTCAGTCATTGGATCGTACGCTGCGATGGATAGAGATACACCGGTAATGATCCGCTTCACAGTAGAATTTCCCACAAACGGATAGAGTTGACTCGAAGATAATTTGGGTTGGCGCTTTGGCAGTGAGGTATCATCTTTGACGCCACAAATTCCAGCTACCATAAGATTTAATCCAGCACGAAATCGTCTATGTACCGGGTTTGAAAACGTCTCTGAAGAAGTAGGTTCTTGTTTTATTTTCTTCTTCTGGTTCGTGACAGTAGTTTGAACTTGTTTTCCTTTCAATTTGGCTTGCAGTTCCTCCACTGTTTGCTCCTTGGTGAGCTTCTCAATTTTCTTGCATGGTTTGTTTGCATTTTTAACGACAACGTGGATAGGCAAATCATCATGTGATGTAGACTTAGCATGCACCATCCATGGCTGCACAAATAATCATGAAAAATGCATGTATAAATAATAACCAACATTTTGTAACAAGAAGAGATAACTAACGTACCATAGAATTACTAGTGACATCATCATCTATGTTAACATTGGAGCTGCCGGCTTCTTTGGTGTCACACTCTCCTAAACGTTCTCTTAGAAATTTCACCTCCTTCTCAAGTGTGGCAATCTTCTCATCCATGGGATTGAATCTCAGTTCAACCTTCGCATCAACTTTGGCATCAATTGCTCCATCTAAACCAGTCAACACCTTGTTAGCAATATTGGTTTCCATGTTGTCTACTTTTGATGTAAACAACTTCATCATATCCACGAGACTGGTTTGATCATCTGATGTCTGCAATATTAAATAAAAGTGTAAAACACAAGTAAACCAGCTTATATTAAAGAGTACACTTTCTTTCAAAATAATAGTATCTTTTTTACTAACCGCTGTAACTCCTTCAAGTTTTTTCTCTTTCTTTTTCGTTTTTGTAGGTTTCTCATGTTCCTTGGAGTCAACGTCACTATGTTCGACAGCTTCTTTACGTTTTTTTTTCTGGCTAATATTAGCTTTGATGACATCCCAAGCTGATTCATCTAACCGATTGTGATGTATATCATCAAGCAAGGTCTTCACGTCTTCATCCTCCTCCTCATCAACCCATTTCGCACTGGTTTCTCCGTCAAACAGTGTAATAAAGTTCCTAACACGAATCTGGAAATATGTTTTCCATTAGACCTTTGTATAAAAAGATATATAGTTTTAAGATAATCATCACTCACAACAAACAATGAATACCTTATTTGCATGACTTTTCTTCTCTTTCCGGAAGAAGTCTGACCACTCAATCCTTGGACGGGAACCGCCCCAAGAAAGAAGAGGAACCTCGTCACCAGCCCTTTTATTCCCATGCAACTCTCCTATACCAGCAATTGCCTCATATGCCCATATGAGCAGAACGTGAACACATCCGCTAAGTGTGTATGTTTTCTTCACACCGTAACTTAGCATCTTAATTGAATCCATCAAACTCTTACATGCAACTCGACCCCACGGATAACTCTCAAAAGCTTCTCGATTTAGAACTCTTTTCGCTTGATGTAAAGGGATATGACTGGACGGAGAGAGGCCGTAGATGCCAATGGACAAGAGACACAACAATCCTACCATTCTCCTCTTCTCAAAAGTCCAATCTGCACTTTTAGAAAAGACCAATTCCAACTGATCCAAGGACGGTCCTTCCAATGTAGAGACATTTAGTTCTCCCCAAAACTCTTCATGATCTAAATCCCATTTGTTCTCATCCTTAAATGGCTCACAATTTAGGCCCGTAATATCACCGAATTCCAGCAAAGAAAGACGAATTGGCTGGGTGTCAATCAAGGACCATATCTCATAGCTCTTCTTCGTTTGCAACTGATGTGTAAGCAAGTAATGCACAATCTTGGCAGAGAATGTATACTCAACATCTTTAAGCTTAGCAATCACTCCAATGGAAGACTCCTTCAAAGACTCCCACACATCCTTTCCAACTCCTGTTTCTACCATTTTTATGTTAGACATAACAATTATAATTCATGCTTTTCGTTTGCGATGGTGCCTTTCCCTCTGCGTACATTCGTCGAGGGTATTTCTTCTCACCACTTGACGAAGCCATAGCTAACAACACAAAACAACCAACACGTACATTCAACACATAAAGTCAACCAAAGTGATTAAAAAAATATTATTAAACAAAGCATAATCTACTATTTCAAGAATAACAGTTATCAATCTACCAAATTAAAACATAACTTTGTTAAAAAAGGCCAAACAGGAAACATTCGAGAAATTCAATCAACTCTGTTTCTCAGTTATACTCAATCGGTTATCTCTTTCGCGCATAACAATTCAGAGTCTCAAGCAAAGCCTGAAATTAAAATCACACCCGAAAACAAATTGAATACGGCAATGAGAAGAGAAAAAAAAACTGAACTGACCTAACGGACGTCGGATTAGTCGAAGCTGATACCGGAGTTAGCGACAACGCTGCCGGATTCGTAATCGGAATCGTGTTGACTTAATGGCGGCGGAGAGACAAGTGACAGATTCTCTCGTGAAATGGTAGACATTCTTTTTTATTTTACCTAAAATGCATCTTGTAACGGTTTAATTTTGAAATTTCATTTTTTTTTAATTACACCAAAAATTGATTACAATGGCATGGGTGTAATTATCAATTACTACATTGGTTATTTGGACTTTTGACACAAATTGTATGCTATTCTAGTAAGTGTTTTTTTATGGGTGCTAATCTAGTAATAAACTGTTGAATTAGTGTTAGATTAAGTAATTTTCTCTATTATATATTTGAGAATGGACTAGGTGTTAAAACAGTATTTGTACACTCCAAAAAAACGGCCTTGTTCATATTTCAATCGAAAAGACCTTACATCAACTGATCAACCTATATGTAAAGAATTAAAAAGTGATTAGTTATTGATTATTATTCAAGAGAATATAAACCTAGGTATATATATGATCTTTGCAGTCGGAAATAGCAAGCATTAAATCTAAATTGAATTCAAATTCACAAATGATGAATTTGAAGAGAAAACTCTCGAAATCCACCAGAGAAAAATTCTCTGTTTTGATTAATTAGAATAATAAAATATATGCCTCATGGCTATAATTTATAACTGTTTATATAGGAAAACAAAACCCTAGAAAATATCCAAAACTGAAAAGGAAAACATAATTAAAAAAAAAAAAAATTTGTGAAAATCTCCAAAATATCTCCTACATCAGTCTCCTCCACCTCTAAAGAACTCGACTCGAGTTCTCTTCTAGATTAAAATCTCATATGCATGATACTCATGAATGTCAACCACACTAAAAGTATTAGAATGTTCATGAGCTTTGGAGAGCCACTACATAAACATCATCATTGATCTTCCGCAACACCTTGAAAGGACCATATTTGCTAGGTTGGAATTTCTTATTCCGAAAGTTCTTTTTTGGATAAAGAATCACATCCTCCTTAAAAGGTTGACCATAGTTGCTATATGTTGTTTTTTTGTTGTGTGTAACAACTAGAAACCTCTTTTTATGGAGGAACACAACTACATCATCATCCTCTTTGAAAACTTTGGTTCTCTCTGCTTGCCAACATCAATTTTTTTCTTCGCTTGTTCATCTGCAATCGATTTCTTAAAATCTTTGTAGATCACTAGCACTCTTCTGGAATTTCTGTCTTCTCCACTTCTGAATTTTATAGGATAATGAAATATCTGCTTTAATGTGAAAAGCCTGATCATTATGTAGAGTATGTTGATCAATCTCTTTCTCTACAAAGTCTTCTTCCTGAGAACTAGGGTTTTCAATAACAACAACACAATTGTTTTCATCTCTTGGAACCCTAATTGAATCTCCTTCTTTGTTTATTTCTGATTTCTGCCGACTATCTTCAATTATCGATTAGCATCTTCATGTGATTGCTAAAATTAATTGCCGCACCATTGTCTTGAACATGTAGAACCCTAATTCGTTTCCTCTCCTTTCTCTTTGCGATAACCAAGCTTCGTCTGATTGGTTAAAACTTTCATCTGATTAGTCAAAGCAGTTAGGACCGAGGTTATAGCCACGGTAAAACCCTGAAAATCTGCTTTGGTCAACGGTTGATCTCCCATAGCTGTTCAAGCTCGAAAAAGAGACAGGAGAAAGCCTGCTCTGATACCACTTGACGCAGTCGGAAAACCCTAGGAATAGCAAGCACTAAACCTAGATTGAATTCAAGTTCACAAGCATGAACTTGAAGAGAAAACTCTAGAAATCCACCAGATTAGAAAAAAAGTTATATGTTTTGATTAATTAAAATAATAAGATATATCTGATGGATACAACTTATAAGTGTTTATATAGGAAAATAAAAGCCTAAAAAATATCTAAAACTGAAAAGGAAGAGAAAAAAAGAAAGAAATTTGTGAAAATCTCCAAAGTATCTCTTACATCATTGCAACATAAATTGTTAAACTAATATGTTGTAAGATTGGGGGACCTCGTGAAAATGTTTTACCTTGTGACAATCGATTATGATGTGGTACCATTTGTGTAAAACGGCATTTTCTACTATGAATTGAAAACTGTTTAATTATTCGCAGAACTATGGAAATGATCATGCTAAATTAACCTTTGTTTGATTATATTAGAAGTTATTTTTAAAACCAAAACCGAACCGAAATCAAAATAAAAACCGAACCAAAGTTGGATTAAACCTAACCAACCAAACTACAAATTATGTCCTCAATTTATTTTCTAAACCGGAAACCGGATTGCACATTTGACTCCGATGCGATTATAGTTAATAAGGGCCGGCCTTTATCATTTACAGGCCCAAAATGGTTGGCACGATAAATTTAGGATTTTCCAATTTGGCGGGAGCGAGAATCATTCCGGCGCCGGAGACGGGAGACGACGATGTCGAACAAACTCATCGGAGAAATGAGACTTCACAAGAAAATCTCCAACATATTCGCCGCACGAAACATCATCACCGCCAAGGTGTTTCCATTCAATCCACGCCTGATTCCTGATTTTTTCCGATACACTGTCGAAATCTCACTTTGGGGTTTACCCATTTTGTTTCCGATTGATCACAAACTTCTCCTTAGATTTCAAATTTGAAGTACTAAAACTTCAATCGATGATACAGATTCTTAGGGTTTTGCCAATGAAATTTTCAGGATGCATTATCGATGACGGAATTCGAACTAATGGAGCTATTAGATGTTGGCATGAAGGAGATCAAATCGGCGATTACACTCATCAGTGAAGCTGCCTCTCCACCATGTCAATCTGTAATCTCTTCTACATTTTTTTTCTATAAAGGCTCGATCTTTGCTAATCTTAGTCTCTCTTTTTCCTCTAAAGGCTCTACCTTTGCTAATCTAAAAGTCTCTCTTTTTCTTTTAAAGGCTCGATCTTTGCTGGAGCAAAAAGTGGAAAACGAACACTTGTCAGGTCATCTTCAAACCCATTTGAAAGGATTAGACGAATCACTGTGTGGTGGAATACCTTTTGGTGTTCTTACAGAGTTGGTAGGTCCTCCTGGTATTGGCAAATCACAGGTTAAAGTTTCTATCTTTGCTACTACATTCTTCTGCTTTGGTTGTGCTTGAATATGGTGTAAAGGTTTCTCTCTCTGTTACGCAGTTTTGCATGAAACTTGCTCTATCAGCTTCGTTTCCAGCAGCTTATGGAGGATTAGATGGTCGTGTGATATACATAGATGTTGAGTCCAAGTTTAGCTCCAAGAGGTAAAAGTGTAAAACTGATTCTTTCTTTCTTTCTTTTTCCAGCATGACATATGTTTATTGTGTACAAAAATGCTCAGAGTCAATGTTATCTTTCAGGGTGATAGAGATGGGATTAAAAAGCTTCCCTGAAGTGTTTCACCTTAAAGGAATGGCACAAGAGGTTGTGGAAACATCTCTATCTTTGTTTTGTTGCTTTGTTTTATCCAAGATTGCTTACAAAAACCGTTTTGCGGCGATGTAGATGGCAGGAAGAATCATTGTTCTGCGGCCAACTTCTTTATCTGAATTTACTGAAAGGTTTGTAAGACTTTTGAGTGTACTGCTACGAACTATAACCATGATGTTTCAGTAACTCAAATTTGTTTTTTTTTTTTTCTAATGACAAGTATACAAGAACTAAAGGATTCGATTCTTCAGAACCAAGTAAAGCTTCTAGTGATTGATAGTATGACTGCTCTTCTTTCAGGGTTGGTCTAGCTTCTGTTTCTTGCTGATCATTTTTGTTTTCATCTTGTTCTTGTTCACAAAAGGTGACCTTTTTAGTAAGTTTTGATGTTTTTACAGCGAAAACAAACCAGGAGCTCAGAGACAGCATCATCAGTTGGGTTGGCATATTTCTTTCTTAAAGTATGAACTTTAGTCTCATCTCAATGTCAAGCTCAAAGCTTTGAATGTAGATTTTGAATTCTCTGACATTTAACAGATCGCTTGCTGAGTTTTCACGGATTCCTATAGTGGTTACTAATCAAGTTCGATCTCAAAACCGCGATGAAACTAGTCAGTATTCTTTCCAAGGTAAGTATCTTTTTGCTCCTTATGTTAACTTCATCAATCCCATTTTATCACAATCACATATTGCCTCTGCAACAGGAAAACCAAAAGAAGGGTTTCATGAACACACAAGTACATATGACTCTCATCTTGTTGCTGCATTGGGTATCAACTGGGCTCACTCTGTAACCATCCGGCTGGTTCTTGAAGCCAAATCAGGCAAGGCTTTCACCAATTTCTTGAAAGTTTTAAAGCATTTGTGTTGGTTCTTGAAGCCAAGTCAGGCAATTTCTTGAAATTTATAAGCTATTTGTATTGGTTCGTTCATGTGATTTGTGTTTTTTTGTACTCTTTGCAGGTCAGAGAATCATTAAGGTGGCGAAATCTCCTATGTCTCCTCCTTTAGCCTTCCCGTTCGAGATAACATCAGCTGGAATCTCATTGCTTAGCGACAATGGGACTGAAGTTAAAGGCCCTGATATTAACACCATTCATGCTCGAGGTATAATCGATCTTGATTCATGTCTTGTTCACTTTGTTCTTGATCACATTCTAGCATGTATCCAACTTGAGCTGATCAAATAAAGAGAACCGCTTAAACAAAGTCATAAGCTCTCTGTTTGATGCTTATTAATGATGAGAATGCAGGGCACAGCGACATGATTAACTTTCATGGGGACTGATACAAAAATCAACCAGAGAGGCACAGCAAAAACTTCCAAAATGCTGTTAAATACTCTAATTGTAATTAGTAAGGCATTAAGTTTCAGTTTAAGTCTTAGGGAAGGCTAATATTTAGATATCTGGTTCAGTATTTCATGTTACTTGTAAGTCTGTTTTTGTTGGAAACTACCTATTTTGCACACTATGTATGAGATGGTACATATAATAAATATGAAGAAAATGTTTATCTTTTCTTTATCTAACCGTCGTCAAGATTTATATTATGGGTAATCATTTTTTAAAATGAATTATCAAAATGTCAAATGTGTCATCTAGTCATGTAAGTATTTTGCTTACTATATACAAGTACAAATTTTAGTTGAAGTCTCCTTTCATTGGATGGGATCTTCCAAATAGTATCATCAAATATTCAATTGGCAAGACTGCAAGAGCTTTAAATGCTAAGTCCTCTTTCCACGTCAACTCGCAAAGTATCAACAGCATCAAGGTAGATTCAATACGATTTCATTTTCACTAAACAAATTGATGTAATAAAAATATAAGGTCAATAAATCATTTTTAATTAAATGTTTTTATAAACCTCACGTCAACATCGTTTTTCATTTTTTTTTTCTTTCTAGACAGTTGTCGGGTTCTTTCACTTTAAAAAATCTAATCAACTAAATTCTGTAACAAACAAAAAAAAATTTCCCAAGTGACAAAGAAAAATGTGGTTCTATGAATATGATGTTACTTAAACCAGATAACCATAATTAATTCAAAATGGCATCGTATTCCATGCCCCACGATTGTTATCTTAATCTTCCCTTTTAACGTTATTTTAATCTAAGAAGCAGCTAGATAAAATTCATGGAAAATAATAGAATACTAACTTGAATGCGTTTTTAATTGATAGCATACACTAAACCTGAAAAGGAGATTTGCACATTCTCCCCATACTAAAATAGAATTTAACGTATATTAATATTTAATAGTTTCTTCTGTCGTACCACATCGTGTTGATCGATTATCCTGAAGCGGCCTACAAATAGAGACAGTTAAAATAAAACACTAAATGATGAATATTTTTTATAGATTAATTTAGAGGTGGAGATGGAACTTAGAAGGTTTGAGTTATCCAAATGCGTGATGCACTATTGCACTACGTTGTGTTGACATCTCATTTTAATTCTTTAATATTGTATTGAAGGCTCTGTCTCCGACTATGAACGAAAATTTTGTTTATGCAACTAGCTAATAGCTATATATTTCTCCTATGTATTAGCCATTGAACCCACACATAATAGTTAGAGACAGATTTGTTTTTGAATTTATTCATTTTTTTTTTCGTCGTAACTCTTTGGATGGTAGATATGGTTAAGAAAACTGTCTTCAACCCTAGATTTGAATGAGTGATGAAGAACAATATTATCTGGATCCGGAGTTTAGGTTTTATTTATATAGATTGAGCCACCTTAGTTATAGGATCTAGCCACAATATTATCTGCATGTGTGTGATGTTAATGTCTTCTCGTATAAAATGAGACTATGATTTGTTTGCCGAAATTTCGAAAAGTGACTATGAGGCTCGCAGTTTCCAGGAGCACTACAGCACAGTTTCGGCAAAGTTTTTTCTATGTATTGTTGTCGTCTGATTAAGTGATTAGTAGGTGAAAAATCATCACTAATAATGCTATACCAATTATGAAAAAGAAAAATTAAATGATTCTATGATCAAACAAAAACAAAAATGTAGTAGTTGTTGGACCTGGATTTCCCTCCAGAAATCCGGCCCATAAGGCCCATCACCTAAGTCCTAAGATCAAGATAAGTCCACTCAGGCCCAGTAAAGTGACCTCGAGCCCACCAAGTATCCTTGTCCAAAATCCAGCTGTTTACTGTCCGAGCTACTTGTGAAGATGAAGTCGAGCTCTAGCTCGACGGAGTCAAGTCCACAAGCTGAGTTTGAACGAGTCAAACGAGAATCTCGCTTCGACTGTTCAGATCCGGAAATAGCGGGATCGGTAGTTGCACGTGGACGAGATACGCGGAGGAGGTTGCGATCTACTTCGGAGCTATAAAAGGAGGACGATTCTTGATCACAAGGGACATGATTCCTTTCAATCGAAAATCACAACTAAAGTTCTTCTCATCATCTTTTCACAGCAGAAACAGAGTGAAGTTCTTCTCTTCGTCTTGAGATATTCTCATATCTTTTCTCTTCGATCTTATCCTTGGTCTTTGAGATAATCCCAGAAAGCCCTGATCTTTCTAGCCGGAAATCACTTCCGGCAGAAGTTTGACATAATCTTTACCTTCGGATCACTCCGATAACCTGAGATTTATCGTCATCTTCACACCCCTTTAGCTCTTTTCGTGGTCATTTCTCTTCAGAAAACGACTCGAAATAGAGAACAACTTACAATCGAACTACGTTCTGGCTTGATCCCTAAAACAGGGTACGTAGGCAGCTCGTTACACGAGCGCAGCCACCACCTCATTTCCATCTCTTTTGCTTAGTCGAATCCTAGTGTTTTACATGGTCTTTTAGGCCGGTTTTGTAACCACTTTATTCGATTAGCCTAAGTCCGATTTCGTCAAATATTTGTCTACGAATCATTCGACTTACATCAGAATCTAACCTCTGATTCCACAGGCAATTTCTCCCTACAAAATACACATAAATTTTGAGTGTGGTTTTCCAAACCCACAGTAGTACAATGTAAATGATTAATAAAACAAATAAAAAAAATAAACAATCAAAACCTCTAAGATAATATATTGTGACGTCGAAACACATGGATGAATTGCAAATAAATGTGAGTACAGACACACTTTGTGAATTGATTTTGAAGATAAGCAAACTCATATTGGAACTACTCGAATGATTTCAGATCGGTTTTAGAAATGATTCAAACGAATTATGTTTATGATTATATTGAAGTCATGATGGCCGCTTTGGCATGTTATGTACAGTATGGAATATTGTTAAAAGAAAAGTTGAAAAATAAATGAACGGACAGGAGGCGTCCACGTTTACCCATAGAAATTCCAAACCTCGTACACTATTCTTGCCGACAACAGATTCTAACCATTAATGGAAACACTGCTTTTGTACTTCGCTAGATTACTATAAAAGAAATTACTTGTTTTGTCCTATTTCTTTGTACTCCAATTGGATGCTGTGCACTACAAGCCATCCACATAATTTATTAATACTAATTTTTTTTAATACTATTAATACTATTACTCTGAAAAAATAATTACTAATGAATTGCATGATTAAATGCTGCATAATGGTCCCTTAGTTTTTAGATCTAACACATACATTGCATACTAATTAGAAAAATATGATGCATACTATATACATGATTAATAATAATAATAATAAATTATATAATTAAGAAAATATATAAGATATCCAATATTAGGAAGAGAAATAAATAAATCAATATCTACATATTTACAAATAATGGAATTTTACACAGAAAAATGTATACTTTCTCTGTTTTATATTTTAAGCAGTTTAGGAAAATGTATCTGCAATTATCTGAATCTATCTGGACTCAAAACACATCTAGATACATCTAGGTAATTACAGATATGTTTTCCTTAACTGTTTATAATATGAAACATAGGGAGTAATAAAGTATAAAAATCACTAGATACATATTTTTTTTTAACGCTTGATGATTTATAACTTTAAAGAAAAAAGAGTTTAATACCAAAAAGTATCTTACAAAAAATAAAAGACAAGTAAAATCAAAACACAGAGCATAGCAGGCTCAAAAGAGCTGAGGAAACACCCTATAGGCATTCACAAGACAAAGAGAGGAAAGACTGATTCATATTGCAGCAGCAATATCATGGCGGAGCCAGGACCTCCTCTAACAATATATGACTGGTACAGAAATTCATTAGTCACACTTGTAGCGATAGCCCGTGCAATAAAGTTGCTAGATACAGGTATGTGTTTAAAACTCCAAAATTCGAAAAACTATAGGAGGTTGAAAGTATCTGCAATTAAAGCATGCATGTGAGGGAAGAGGTGGGGCGCGAGGAAGGCTTCCCTAGCTAGCAGCAGGGGAGATCCAAAAGTCACTCTCCTCAATCGCATACTTTTGAGAGATTCAATCGCCCAATGAAAACTTAGTAGTTCCGCTTATAAAGGTGAGAGGATCTGAGCGTAGGATCGGCGGCTATGGAAAAGGACCGTACCTGTGTGATCTCTAACCAACCATGCAGCTCCACAATTTTGGTCTTCCGAAACCCATGAGCATCCAATATTACATTTAACAGAGAGCTGATCAGATTTCTTCCATCCAATAACATTGGTTGGTACCTGTAGGGGAGAGTTATTGGGGTGTTCCTCAGTTTCCTCTAGCTGTCAGCGTCCTCTCTTTCTCTAGATATGATATACGTTTGATCATATTGGATAGACTCAAAGATCAGAGCATTTTGGGCTTTCCATAAGTGTCATAAGATCCAAAGAAAGCGTCAATGGATATTGACAGCGGTAGTTTCCTTTTTGCTACAAGCAATGAGGTAGTGCAGGTTCAGGAAGACTGAAGTCGGAGAGAAACCAGCCAAAGGTAGTGGGATTTCAGCCAATTTCCAAGTCTTTTTTGCCTTAACACAAGAGAATAGTACATGGCATATACTCTCATTCCGTGCTTCACAAAAGCTGCATGTTGGATTGATCATAATACCTCGCGTACGTAGTCGTTCCTTAACTGCCGAAGCACCAGAGAGAGCTTTCCAAAGGAAGTGCCGTAGCTTTGGCGAGGTTTTAGTTTTCCAAATATTTTTCCACATTTGGCTCTCAAGCGGAGGCAGAGGATGAGAAGAAGAGAGGGTTTCCAACAAGAGCTCCAATAGCTTGTATCCGCTTTGTGAGGAGTATGTGTCATTATTTGTGTAGCCTCAAGTCAAAGAATTATCACGGTTCGAAGATAGTTTAATCTGAAGGACTCGCTGAGCATCCTCGGGAGAGAAAGTCTGCATAGCACGTGTAGTATCCCAGTGTCCCGAAGTGTTATTGACCAAATCTGACACACGAAACTTAAGATCAATAATACTATTCTCATGGTATGGTGGTGTCCTCGGAAGGCCATCAATGATCCAATTCTCTGACCAGACTTGAGTTCCCCTCAATTACCAATTTTCTTTACCAACCCCTGTTTCAACAGTTCTTTGCCGTGAAATGAGGCTCCTCCAAGCGTAAGAAGGTCTTCTCAAGACTCGCCAAGCTTGTTTCCCCAACAGAGGCTGATTGAATTTGCCTATATCATGGACATCAAGCCCTCCTTTGTCCATATCTTTGCACAGTTTCTGCCAAGCCATCCAAGCTATTTTTTTTCTGATTATCACCACCATTCCACCAGAATTGTGTCATAGCGCTTGTGAGTTTTCCACATAAATCTTTAGGCTATCAGAAGACAGACATAGCATAGACAAGAAGAGGAAGTCCAACTAATTTAATGATTATCTCCTTACCTCTTTGTGACAAGGCTTTCGCATACCAGCCATGGAGCCGACCTTGCAGTTTCTCTTGGGGGAAGTTGAAAAGCTTCTTCTTTGATCCACTGAAACACTATGGTGCCTTCCCCCCCCCCCCTCCCCTCTCCCCCTTCTTTATCAATTCGCAGGGATCTTTTGACTGCATCTCGGATCTCTAGACTCACTTTAGAACCAAAAATAATTGAAGATTTCTTGGGATTTATCATTTGACCAGATGCATCACCATACAGTTTAAGGCACTTCTTGATTTCCTCAGCTCTTCTTCGTTTGCTTTACACATTAGCAGACTATCATCCGCAAATAACAAATGATGGACTGAGGGATCTGTAGCTGCCAGTCGGATACCATAAAGCTTCTCAGCCGTTTCAGCTTGGTTGAGGCAGCTAACGAATAAACAAAAAAGGGGAGAGAGGGTCCCCCTGCCTAATACCACGCTCAGGTTTGATGAAGCCATGAGAGCAACTGATGCAAAGAGATATTTAGAAATATTCTAATTATTTATATTATTATTTTGGTAATTTTCTATTATTGTTTTAGGGTTTTCTGGTTTTGAGATTTATTATAAATAAGCCGTCTAGGCCTCTTTTTGTATTCAGTTGTTGATTATTAAGAGAAGAGTATTCTCTGTACTTATTTTCGGTAGATCTATCGAGATCTCAACGAGTTCAAGAAGGAGGTCCTAAGTAAGGATTATATCAAATCCCTTGGTTGAGCTGACAGCTCCTGATTGATTCCTTTAAATCATAGGTTGAGCTGTGTTTATCGTAGATTCCGCTACATCAGTTGGTATCAGAGACAACACTTTGGTTTTTTAATCAAAGTCAGATCCTTGGATATCATGTTAAGTGGATGTGTTTATCCTTCCATGGTTGAAAGTGAAGACCAGATCTATATAGAGATCTATGGACATCCAATTTATGATATTTATGATGATGACTATCTTATTCAAGATGAAGAAAAGGCGTTATTCAAAATTCCAGAAGAGGTGGAAGTCAGGAGGGTTTTAATCGTTCGTCATCAACAAGATGCTTTCATGCATAAGATGGAGAAGATCACGTGTGGAGTTTTTAAGAAGAAAGGCACATCAAAGATTTCATCTTACGAAGAAATTGTGGATTACATAGAAAGAAAACATTATTTTCTTTTTTTGTGAGAGATATTATTTATGGAAGATAAGAAAGAAGAAAAAAAGTAAAACAAAATATTGTATGCATCTTCATGGATTTGGAAACGCAGATCACGGTTAAGATTTGAGGACGAATCTTCTCCAACCCGGAGAGAATGATGCAGAGAGATATTTAGAAATATAATAATTATTTATATTATTATTTTGGTAATTTCCTATTATTGTTTTAGGGTTTTCTAGTTTTGAGATTTATTATAAATAAGCCGTCTAAGCCTTCTTTTGTATTCAGTTGTTGATTATTAATAAAAGAGCTTTGTCTTTTAAGAAAAGAGTATTCTTTGTCATTGTTTTCGGTAGATCTATCGAGATCTCAACGAGTTCAATAAGCAGGTCCCAAGTGAGGATTATATCAAATCTTTTGGTTGAACTGACAGGTCCTGATTGATTCCTTTGAATCATAGGTTGAGCTGTGTTTATCGTAACTTCCGCTACATCAGCAACCATTGAGGAGAATCGTATATGTCACTGTGCTTACACACGACATCACCCAACGGATCCACACTCTGTCAAAACCCATCTTTTCCATCAATGCTTCCAAAAAACACCACTGAACCCTGTCATAATCTTTTGACATGTCAGTCTTAATCGCCATGTAATCATCGGAAGCTTTAGTGTTTGTTCAGTGAACCATTTCATGAACTATCATGATGTTATTAAACGGCCAGAGACAAATGCTCCTTGCGTATCCAAGATGACATCAGGTAGAAGATGTTTAAGTTGGTCACATAAGATTTTAGAGATAATCTTATATTGGATAGAGCATAGGCTTATTCGACGCATATCCTTCATCTATGTAGGGTTGGAGATCTTGGGGATTAGGCACAGTTGGGTATGGTTCCAGCCCGGGGGAAGGATACGAGCATTAAAGAAACTCTGAACTTCCGAGATAATACTGGGTCCAACGATATGCCATAAACGCTGGTAGAAGATACTTGTTAAGCTATCTCTCTTGGGGCACTACTACCTTTAATGTTGAAAGTCACTTTCTTAATCTCCTCCTCTGTAGTCGAAGATACAAGGGCTGAGTTCATAGCAGGGGTAATACGGCTTGAGAAGCCCTTGAAAAGAGGTCAAAAGGATTTGAGCTCATAAAGAGATCCTGAAAATAATCAGAGGCTATATTCCCTTTGGCTCCTTCCGAAAAATGCTCATGACCTGATTCATCCTTGAGCATGAGAATACGGTTCTGAATTTTCTTCCCTTTAACACAATTGTGGAAATAATTGGTGTTTTTATCTCCTGCTCTCAGCCATTGTTCATGGCTCTTCTGGCGCCAGAAAAACTCCTCATCTTTGTGAGCTGATGCCAATTCATGCTTTAAGCTCTGTATCCTTCTGTAATTAGGATGAACTTTGCATATTTCAGATTCCAGCTTCTGATAAAGTCTCGTAATTTTAAGACGATAGTTTTGATCCGAGTTTATCTTCCATTTAGATAGAGCCCGCCTGTAGTTAGTTATACGGTCTAACAAAGAGGCTGGAATATTCCCACCATTTCCTTCCCAGCCTTGCTTCATGACGTCTTCAATACCATCTTTAGATAACATCATAACATCCTTTTATCAAAATAGAACCTCCCTCTGCTTGAGGATTCCACTTCCAAAGAAAAACAGATCATGATCGGTCGATGATCTGATGCCCACATGTCGATGTATTCCTCTTGAGATCGAGGAAACAATTAGAACCATGCATTGTTCCCAAAACTTCTGTCTAAACGACACTGGATCCAAATATTATCTCTCCAGCCACCCCAAGAAAAAGTATTCCCTGAGCTCCGCAGCTCTCAAATCTTACAGTTGATAGTCATAGTTCTAAAGTCCCAAAATTCTAAAGTCCCAGAAGGATGAGTCATTTCTGACCGCGCCTCCAAACTTTTCCGAGTTACCCATCAACTCATTAAAATCTCCTACCAACACCCATGGATCATCTCGAGAGAGACCAATGTTTGTAAGTCTATCCCACACTTCTCTCCTTTTTGCCTTCACCGGATCTCCATATACACAAGAAAGAAAAAACACCAACGGACCCATCTCAACTCTCATATCAATGATTCGTTTGTCCAAACTCAAAACCTCAACTACCAAGCTATTCTTCCACAACATCGACAAGCCTCCACTTAACCCAACAAGCTCAACCGTAACACACTCATCATATCCCAAATCTTTCTTCAAACCTTCGTGTAACCACAATTTTGTTTAGTCTCCATTAGAAAAAAATATCCGAGAACAATTTTTTCCGCAAGTCCCGTAACCTCTGAACTGTCTCCGGGCTACCAACCCCAGTTCCAGCTCAGTATGCTCATTGGGATGGCAGCAACTTCAAATCGGAAGCCACCGTGTGTTTTAAGGTTTTTTAGAGATTTTGCAGAATGTTCTCTGTCATTCATTCGTGCTTTTCGTTTCGGATTAGAGTCAGCAGCATCCTCATGTCCAGCCTTAGAGACTGGCGTAGGACTCACTCCATCAACACCAACTTGGTTAGGAAGAGGCGTAGTAGCATTACCAGATTTTTTTTTGCCAATCACTTCCATTTATGTGGACGTCTTCGACCTTTGATAGCCCTTGTCTTAATTCCGGATAAATAGCCTTCCGAAGAATAGTCCATTCTAAAACCGTAGAGTCAAGAGGGGAAGAAGAAGAGGATCCTTCTTGGTCATTACTAAGATCCTTCAAAGCCTGAGAACCAAAATTAGGGTGCAGAGCCGAGATAACTGAATTCCCAATACAAATATTTCCCCTTTTGAGAGCTTGACTCTGCTGTTCAAATCTAAAAACATGCCTCTTTCCTTTATTCAGATCATGAGATATCCTTGAAAGTTTGAGAGATGCATCGATGCGGGTTCTCAATGGACTGTTTGACTCTCTCGATGCGAGCCTGACGTTCAGTAGTATCGCTGTGGGAGACATATTGTAAAGCTACATGTCTCTCTTCCATAGGCAACTCAGCAAAGAAGGGAGGAAAACCTGGCATGACCGATGGATGATCTGCAACCACAGAGACCAACTGGAGAGCTTGATCAGCCACCATGACAGTCTGCTCCACTCGATGTTTCAGAGGCATAGAAGGGATCCGATTATGTGAGAAGGGACACATCGGTCTCTCATCGTTAATACCGTGGCAATGGAAGCAATATTTCCTTAGCTTGTCATATTTGTTTTCAATTGTCACACTCCCTCTAGTAGACAGGTTGACCATCTTGGATTGGATTGGAGGATCAGCAATTTTGAGCTTGACGTGCGCGTGGACAAAGGTCTCCTTCTGTGGACCCTTCGTTCCATAGGCGATCTCGATTACTTCTCCAACTCTTCTTGCAAGCCAATTCATCGTGTCAATCTTATAGTAATTCATTAAGATACGGTTTATTCGAATCCATAGGTCCACAAAGGTGAGGAATCAGCAGGGGGCGGGAGGGGATCCACCGATCCACCAGCATAGTCCAGTTGTTATAGGACCATGGCGATCTTTCAGTACCGTCTCTAGATCTTCTTCCCTCTCGAAGATAAACTGAAGCTTCTCCCAAGAGAGCGCAATCCCGCGAACACGGTCATAAACCCTCCATACTCTCGGCATATCTTCTATCATCTTGTCCATAGGTTGACAATCTGGGTTAAGCAGGCGGCCAAGCAGAGAGTTAGCATTTTGGTCAAAAACCTTGAAGCTAGGGGTATCCGGCATGTCAACAGGTTCATCTTCATGGAGCGACATCACTTGGATGGCGTTTTGGTGACTCTCAGCCATAGAGCGGTGAATAGCGGTGGCAGTAGAGAGATTCCGATGGGAGATGAGCAATAGGTTTGGGAGAAGACCTACTATAAAGATGGAAAATTTGCAGTTAATGGAGGAAAATTCTGCAATAATTTTCGTGGAAATCATGGTTAAGAGCCGATTTAGCTTGAGAGGGAGAATTTGAAAAAGGAAATTAGGGATCGAGAAGGGAAAGATGGGAGAAGAGTAAAGGAAAGTGACGAAGATTTAGAGGATATTCAATAATCGTCACAATTAGTATTGAAATAACTACTCAAAATAAAAGATCGGAAAATAATATCAAAAGGGAAAGGCAAAGCTTCTGAATGAAACCAAAGGACCTAAGCGAAAAAAAAGGAAAAAGTTTCAAGATTTAAGGTTTGTACAAACCTAACGTAAACGAGAAGAAGGAAACTTTAAATTCACAACACACTAGATACACTACAATAAACATATTTACAGTAGAAACTCTATAAATTAATAATGTTGAGACGATGATATTTTATTAATTTAACGAGTTATTAATTAATCAAGATATTATTTGGATCAAAAACTTAGTTTGGGACGGGAAAACTATACTAATAATTCGAGTTATTAATTTATCGAGTATTAATTTATAGAGTTTCTATTGTACTTATATTGAGACTCATTTTAAATCTATTTCTATTTCAGTAAATATACTTGTATGATTTTACTTTTTTTTAAAAGATAATAGCTCAATTATATCTTTCAACTGGATGTAAATTTAAAATGATGTTTTCTCTTCAGCAAGGATAAGAAAAAAACAGAACAAGAACGAGAAGTTGATGAACATTTTTCATATCGTAGAAGACATAATAAAAACGAGAAAACAAACTCTCTTTGATTTTTCCCAGTAAATAACATGAAATTCAATGCACATTTCACTTTGACTAACTCATGTTTTAATGATTTGCTTATGTTTTTCAAACTTTATGCTTATAATATATTCTCTCCATTTCAAATTACTTGTCATTTTGAGAAAATGTATATGTACTTATTTGGATGTATTAAACTCAAAACACATCCAGGTATATTCAAATAATTTCATATACATTTTTCCAACAACTAATTTGAAACAGAAGAAGTACTTATGTTATGCTTTATTATCTATTTTTCCCAAGTTGTTTTTTTCTGATTACAAATTATATTATATATTAATAGAGTTTATCATTTAGCTATTGAAAAACTTAGTACCATGTTGGAAAATAGAAATTTTAGTCTTCGAAATGTAATTAAACTTAGATATTTGTTATTGGGTAAGTTGTATCTTGTGACAGATGTTTTAAGAATGATTACCAATGTTGGAATAGCAAAATACATTTGATTTTACTTCGAAACAGAGACTAAGTTGTCTTGATTTGTTGAATAAGACATAGACATAATACGATATACGAAGTGATTTTTCATTATGAAGATTTTTCAAGGCTTAGAGTGTATTGCATATAAGGCCGAGAAATTGGTTGAAAAGTTCAAATCAGTTCTCGATAACTATATATTTTATATCCTCCGATTGTTCAAGTGCAAAAAATTCAGAAGTGTAAGTTAATCAATACAATATAACCTACAAATTATTACGAGAATAATATTATGTATTAGGGCAACTTATGATAATGAACTGTATGAAATTTTTCAAATGCATGGTTAACTGCATAAGAAGGATTGTCAAACATTGAGTTGAAGAATACCGTCGCTTTGAAGAACTTTACAACTTCTTGAACGGATAATATTTTTCTACTATATGTTTTACTATATTCAGATAACATATGTTCATACTTCTAATGTTCGCTTAAAAATATGTTTATTGGAAATATATTTTTGTTAAAATATAATATTTCTTAATATATTTATTGAAATCTAGTATTCCTTTTGTTTTTTTGATTGTCGTTTATAAAAATATATCTGAAATATTTTAAATGTATTTAACTTAAAATATATTCATATATATTTCTGCAAACCATAACAAATATGAAACGAATGGAGTATATAAAACCAACGAAAAAAAGTAATAACATCCTTCAAAAGGTACTATTAATCAGTAATCACATATTCATTTATATTTAACTCAAAACACATCTATATACATTTTCACAACAACAGCTAATATAAAACGGAGAATACAATATTTATTCAGGTTATATAGCTGTGAGGAATGTTTTCTGAATATGTTTCATATCAGCGTCTAGCGAAGTAGCGATGGTGGTGTTTAGAAATTGGGAAAGCGGGGCAAGATGTCGTCCGTTTGATCATACATTTGGCATATCCACTACGTGGCATATAATAATTGGGTAGTTAGATTTTTCACATTATCAGCAATATTTGAAAACTATTTTTTTATTTGTCACTTGGTTTACCTACCGGCCCTAGCAGGTAGCGAAGAGATCCATTATTGGGAGTAACCAAAATTGGAATAATTTACGTTTTCCAGATTTATAGTTTTTATATATTTATGTATCTTTTAAGGTTGAAGACTTGGTTACCACTTACCATGATGGGAAAGGGCACAAAAGTATTTTGTTGAGTGACTAAGATAGCAAAGAAAAGCATTTCCTTTCTTCTTTTCTAATCATTTTTTAGGTTTTGCTCTTTCTTTATTCAAACACAAACAGATGATTAAGTTCTTCTTCTTTTCTCATGTCGACAAATGTTCATTATGGCGGAAGATGATGAAAACATTACAATATCAGTTTCTTTTTATGTTAATAAAGCGACTATCTTTTAATAATTTTGATTTTTCTCTTTGACATCAAATACACTATTAATTTTTGGAAGAAAAAAAAACTCTTCTTTAGGAAGAGCCAATAGAAAAATGACAAACTTACAAACAAAATAGGTGCCCTTGTAGTCTTAAATTATTCTTAAAGTAAACATCATAATATTTTCTTAAAATAATTATTTTATAAAAATTGGTCAAACTAATTATATACTACAGTACTTTATACTTATTTAAGGGAGAGTACACTGTACATAGGACAAATGGACAATGTAGTACCGCTCTAACCGATTCATGAAAAACCAAAGATAAAAAATTTGTACAACGTTATACTTTTGACCATCCTACCGTCCTGAATATTCGATACCTAAAAATAATAAACCTGTATTATATTATAACAATAGTTTTAAGAAACAAATATTTATATATCTCGAAGAAACAAACAATGTTGGGATGTGAATGGGATACATAATGATAGGGAAAATGTCAAAATCATGGGAGCCAACTAATTTGGGAGGATCTTTAGGGGAAATGTGTGGAGAAATGCGTGTCTACATTTTTGGTTTTCCCCATGTTGCAAAAAATCCACATGTTAGATTTTATTGGTAAACATGTATGTTTTTATTACTTACTAGTCAAAGATTTCGACCACCTGCCTCATTTTTGATAATTTCAATTTATTTTGGTAGATATATACTATAAAAAGTTACACCACCTGAATTTAGATATTATGCTCTTGAGTTCGTTATATAAAGAAAAAAAGGGTTCATTTTCTCCATTTTTCAAAATTAAGTCTATTTCTTATATGTGCTTCTAAAAAAATCGTTTTGTTTCTGCTAAAATTCTATAATATATTAATATATGTGTGCATTAAGAGTCATTCCAAAACATTCGGATGAGCGAAAAGTTTCTTTTAACCCCTTTTAAAACGTTCATAACATGAGAACACTCATCTTTACATTTTACCAAAAAAAAAAACATGAGAACACTCTCTCATTCAGCTAAACTTATTTTTGTTAAAGCGTTTCGAAATAATGTTGATTTATTGTTAAAAATAATGAATTCTAAAACTGGTCCTCAAAATTACTCTCTCGAGACCTGTCCAAACTTTATAAGTTTTTAATAAAGAGTAGATGTTAATAAAAGAAAAAGCTGTCCTTACAATTTAATGCCAGTCGCCTCAAATTTTAAATCGTGACGTTAACATTTGAAATGGATGTTGTTACAGTGAATAAAAAGATGTTCAAAAGTTTAGTCATTTGAAATGGATGTTGTTGTTACATCTAATCACAAGTCACAAGCCATAAACATATTTTTTTTTCACATCTAATCAAAATAAATTCACTAATGTTGTTCTTTCTTCAATTTTATTTATGTTTACTAAAACAAAAGCAAACATTAATTTACCCACTTGCATATTTCCTTGTCGGCAAGGTGTCTAATGTCTACATTGCTTGCTTTTAAGATGTTGGTGATATTTTATTTCGCATGAATCGAACAACTAGCCTGAGAACATAAGACATAACTATCCCTCCAACACGAATATTACTTAGTTACAACGAAATTGATGAAAGATGATACACTTTTTTATACTTTAAAATTAGTATTCTAATATGTTGTGTCATGTGTATGAAAAAACTCCATATGGTTCGGTAGCACAGTAGCACTAAAGAAGTGTTGGTACACAATTGAGTGTGTGCAAATCTTAGTTTGGCTATATACTTTTCCTCTTGCCCAATACGTATATTATTCTAGCAGACATTTACTTAAGTAGTCTACTTCATATGTAAAGTTCTTAAAATCTTGAAAGTTCAAGATCTCACATATATCGTCCTAAATAGCTCCAACCTTGCATATTTACCAAAAACCTATGATCAAAATTCTTAATTCGATAGGTGTTCTCTATTTCTCGGAGATTATCAACCCCACCAACACTTTCCCCTCCGCCTCCATGGAATGACTGTTTTTGTTGTTTAAGTTATCAATTCAAGCTCACAAAAAGTGATGATTGTGTCACAAATCATTTTCTGATACATGATTCACAATATATCCAACCATCTCTTTTTTCCTTACATATTTTGGAAAGAAAGATTGGATAACTTATCTAAGCCGGCTACTGATCTGCATATTCAAACCAAACATGAAGTGATGTTAAATTTTCTAATAAATAATAAATAAAAAAATTAGAATTCAGTTTCACTATATAAGTTTTTTAGAAAATCTAGTATAAATCAAGAGAAACATCTAGTCTTAAGTGAGTTTT